TCGATTTGGTTTGGTTTCTTTTACGGCATATCAACCTCTATGGGTTATTTAATACCGACAAGATTTTAATTTTTAGTAATATTTTTTTGAAAAAATATATTGTTGGCAATAATTTTTTTCTTCAAAAATTCATTGCTGGTAATAAACTTTTACAAAAATGTATTTGTGGTATTAAAACCTATTTTTCCACATTCATAGTGTTTTGAACCCATTTTGTGGGTCAACTATTTGCCCATACCTGGGAGCCTAACAGGTGCTACCACCTCAGGCCAGGGTGAACCTGGGAACACCAGCAATTAAGAGGTAGTTCCACGCTCCTCAAAGCTTCCAGATCAGAGGCCTTGATGTAGTTTATAGTCTTACCCAGGATGCGGATGTAGTTTATAGTCATACCCGCAAGGTAGCGATTCGTGGGAAGATGCTGTTGGTGTGGACTTTACATCTCATCAGTGGAATACGAAGGGAACGAGGGTAGTTCGCAACAATGTACGTGGCATGGCGGGCTTTTGCCTTGAAGGTTACAACTGGTGAAATTAAGGAATGTATCACTTTCTATGGAAATAACCATAGAGCAGCGAAAGGTTTACGACGATTTGTCTGTGGGGGGGAAGGGTCGTAGAGTAGAAAATAATTAATCACCCACAAGTATGCGGAGAGACTTTTGGCTCTATCGAGACTGGAAAGTGTAAACTGGGTAGCTTCTGCCCATATATTTCCATCTGATCTGCCTCTTGTAAAGGTAGAGGATAACAAGAGGAATCAGGCTCTTACTGGATAGGTACAGGGAATCGTCCATTTTCTCAGTATCTTTAGCGATTGATCACATATACGTGTCCCACTTGAGGCCTGAGGTGTTCAAGTCAAGGAGTCTCTCCGAGAGAACACCGTTCGTTGCGATAGGCAAAAATTCAGGATTTGTTCGGTGATGTTTGAATGCCACTAGTTGAATTCAAGTAGTGGTCATGTTCCGCGATGAAAAAAAGAAGAAAAAAAAGAAAATACTAGCTTCCAAAACGCTCTTAAACAATTGAAATAACTTTTGATCTTGAACACAGAATCTATAATCAATCACTATTAATGAGTGTTAATCTTAGAACAAGAAGACATATGGAATATTTTTTTTTAATATTTATAAATTTACTTTTGGATTCTTTTGAAGAGAAAAAATCTGTTTATTTGTTTCTTTATAAATGAATTTTGCAAATTGGGATTGTTAGGTTCGAAGACAGCCGACGGTCTGCGGGCGAAGCTAAAAGAAGCGATGAAAGGGAAAGACAGAATCATTTTGGACAAAGTGATCAGTGAATGCGTTTCTGCTGGAATGCCAGAACTGGATGTTGACATTCAAAAAGCCAGAAGCGTAGCAGACATTCTTCGCGGTGGCACTGGAGGTTAGAATTCATACGACTTTGACATACAATAAAACTTTCTTGTTCAGAAACTTTATAAAAATGAATCTCTTTTGAAAAATATATTTTAAACGATTAAAATTATATATGACTAAAATTATAATTGAGGAATTATTTTTTAATAACAAAGTCATAGAGTGTATTTGTTTTGTTACTAACTAAAATGTAAACAGAAATTGTATATACTTCACGTTGTATTTCAATCAAGTATCAGTCCCTATTCATTACAACCTCACCCATCTTTCACTGTCAGATCTGAAATCTCCCGATATTCTCCGTGACCAACTGACCATGGCTATCAGACAAAAGGATATTAAATCTTTGGATAAAACCATTAAGGAAGCCGAGACTTCCAGATATCCAGAATTGGCCTCCGACCTTCGTAAAGCCAGAGACACTCTGGATAAACTCGGCGGTGGAAGAGGAGGTTTGTTCTTCAAAAATATTTTAATACATATTTTTTTTTAAAATATTCAAACGATTACCAGATGATTTATAATACAGAGTAAAATTTTTGTAAGTTATAAATAAGATAATATTTCCATATTATTTAAATCACCAATATGTTTTAATTCGAAAAGAAATACTGTAAACAATCCTCAAATTGTTGCTAACATGGTAGACTTCTCTGTATAGCAGAGGGCAACGGTTTCATCATGGTGGGTGTTGTTGCTGAGGTTTTCATAGCAATTCAGTTTATATGTGGTGGAGTTGCTATCCTTCCGTTCAACTGGTTTCGAATTCAGATGAGCCCTTCTCGTAGCGAACGAAAGCTAGAAGGCCTAATCTGCCCTGCTAGCAACACCGAGCTAGTAGGAGAAAAATACATTGTTTTCATAATTTTAGAAGGGTTTCTGTGCAAAAGCGAATGCCATGACCTCGGCACGCCCTTGTAACTTTAAGCGCTGCTACGTGCACATTCAAAATCGTTAAATATGAAATTAATTTTGAAAAAAAACTTTCTAAAAAAATCAAATTATTATTTTCTGGAGTTTCGAACTTAATAACGTTCATTATTTCAGAAATATTCAATCCGAATTTATTCGCGTGTATTGTTTTTAACACGATATTTTGGTTAATATTTTCTTTGTTGATGAAAATTGTCAAGAAATTTAGTGAGGAATTTGGAGGTTAATCATATTAAAACAAAATAAGAGTTTTTGATCTACTTCGTAGATACGGCATATACTTGAGGAAGGTAAGAGATCGCATCGACCAAAGAGTAATGATAAAAGTAGCATATATAGGTGTACTAACATGTATATGTCATGAAATAGTTAAAAATAAGATCATGGCAAATGTATTCGGTGTCTTCAGAGAGTTTCAAAACTTATAATCATGAATTCTTCCTTCTGATGTAGTTTGTCTCGCTACTGACATAGTTCAAAGTGTCGATAAACTTATAACTTGGAACTCTTGAGTTCCAATCTTGAGTAAGATATTGCAGAAATATACACCAGCTCATTAAGTGAAGAAACAGATTGTAATCACAAGAAACAGATTGTAATCACAAGAAACAGATTGTAATCATAAGGAACACGTGATCATTGAAATTCTCCAGGAAGTAAAAATAATCGTGATAATTAAAGTAATGAAAAAAACAATGCCCAGTTGATCAAACAAGGAATTGCGCTTGGCATTAGCATAATTTAAAAAAAAAATCAGTGGCCAGTAACATTGTGGTTAAGACAACAAAAACGAATAATCATTCGGAATTAATATAAGAATATTTCGTTTCGGAAATTCAGAAAAAAAAACTGCAAATGTATTGTCAAATATGTCATTGTATATATTTTAAAACTTAGGTTCGTTAATTCCTGAGGCGTTAAGCGAAAAACTGAAATCGGCGATGAGAGAGGGTGACAAGGCGACCTTAGAAAGCGTTCTTTATGAATGTGTGGCTGCTGGGATGCCAGAACTCGACTCTGACATTAAAATGGCCAGAGGCGCGCTCATCGGTATGGAATATGAAACAGCAGGAGGTGTGTTCTGAGTTCTTTTCATTTATCTTTTGTTATTGCATAATATCTTTGAGATGATCCCTAGTAGAAATTCGACCCTTAAACCATTAATGGCTACCGTCCGATTTTTGAGGAGGTGGGCATTAATGAAACATAAGTGGAAGCCAATAATTAACACCGGAATTTTATAAACCTATTAATAGAGATATTTTATAAACTTATAATTAATACTGAGTTTTATTTTAATTTTTCGTATTTGATATTTGCGATAATGGAGAAAAAGAAAAAAAACGATAATATATGCTGTTTCTTAATTGCATGCGTCCGTCAATAGAGTTTGAGAGAAAACGTCTATACTGCAGCCGAGAAAGGCAGTTCCTTTATTTGAGGTTCTCTTAATTAAATTCTCCTTGTCAATGCGATTAATGCAGTGATTAATATTAATCGCTTGCGTTGAAGGTGTAATGTGTTATATGTAGTGTCCAAATAACCAAAATAAATATGGATTCTAGAACAATTTTATGTTGATAATGCGTATAAAAACAGTTTACAATTATAACGGGGGTCAGTTTACAATTATAACGGTTTCTCGTTTCTATTCTCGCTTCCCAAAGATCAGTATATATATATATATATATATATATATATATATATATATATATATATATATATATATATATATATATATATTAATAATTATACTCGGTTGGTGTAAAAAAAAAAACAAATGGCTGACAGCATTTGCAAATAAAAATATATTAAAACAAATAGGTATCTGGGGGGAAAAAAATTGGAAAAAAGAACGTACTAAAAACATCCGAAAAAAATCGTCCAGTGCCGTAATTTCTAGTCCAAAGAAAAAAAATCCCAATCGAGTAAATAAGAAAAAACGTAAAATGCTCAATACGCTAAGTAGAGCAGAATATAAAAAATGTATTTTTTTATTTATTTATTTTTTTTCATTTATTTTTTTTTCCTTTCGTCGTATGTTTTTTTTTATGATTCTAGTTTTTATGCTAATTTTAATTTTAGTGGTTGTTTTTATCAACAAATATGTCTCTTTGAGATATCCTCTTCAGCTAGCTTACCAGAAGATCCATTTAGGTGAAACCTTGGTAGATAGATCCTGGCTTACTAAGATTATATATACATAAACATACATACAGTGTAACCCGGATATAAGAGACCTGGATATAAGAGAAACCCGGATATAAGAGAGATTTTCTCTGGTCCCAAAATAAGGGCCCATAATTACCTAAACAAAATAGACCAAACCCAGATATAAGAGAAACCCGGATATAAGAGACTTCTTCTCCGGTCCCGACAACTCTCTTATATCCGGGTTACACTGTACACACACACACACATATATATATATATATATATATATATATATATATATTAAAAGACTTCGTTGTTCGGACCGAGAGCTTTTCATCATCCTTCTCCTAATTCATTTTGTGATAGTAATAACAATATAAAGAATAATTGAAAACTTGAAATTCGATATTTTAAATCTAAAAGGGTTATCTTTATAATGAAATAATTGAATGAAATGATAAAAAAAAGAGCCATTGTTTGATTCAATCCGTTTTATTAATTGTCAGAATCATCGACAATAAGCGTTAACATGTTACGAGAGGCGCTCGAAAAAGCAACCAGAGAAAAAGACAGGACGAGCCTCGAAAGGGTAATAGAAGGCGCAGAACGTGCAGCATTCCCAGAATTGAGTTGGCGTCTTCGAAATGCCAGAGACACTTTAGAGCGTCTCGGAGGCGGTCGTGGAGGTTAGAAAACTTGATATATTTTTTTTTTTTTTGCGGGGTAGAAACTTCTCTAATATGTGCAATTTTCTGACCAGTTAATTTCAAGTTACACCTGACAGAATCACAAGAAATTAGATTTCATATAATTATAATAACACTAGTAATAATGATTAGAAAAGGTTCCGATAGACTCATTGAAGAGATTTCTGATAGTCCATGCCTTAAACAAATACAAAAAAATGTTCTCACGCATTACAGCTCACGCATTACGAAGAGCTTTATCTATGTAAAATGTGTGTGATCTTAGTTTTTTGCTGTTTTTTTACAAAAATTATCAATGAAAAATATCAAGAAGCCATTTCTGAGACCCAGAAGGAAATGTGTATACAACAGAAACACAAGGAAATAATAATAATAATAAAATATAAAAGTATTGTTCGACAAAAGTTTATCAATACATTTATTTGTATTTATTATTTTTTTCTTTATTAGTCTATTTTGAAAGGCATGGTATGTGCAAATAAGTGGGCCAGAAATTATCGTTGTTGTATAGTCTAACCTTTCATTCTATGTATTAGTATGAGTTGCCTTGTTTTGGTTTTTGCTTAGAACAGAACTTTTGCGCACATACAGACGTAAAATACGCAGAAAGGCATTTCACGTTCTTTTTTCCAAAATTACCTTAGTTTTTGCCGCAGACACAGATATGTCTCATTGTTCTTCTTGGTTTACTGTCAGGCACCAAGATGTTTCTTTACTCCTCTCTGAGTATTGGCAGGCACCAAGATATTCCTTTACTCTTCTTGGTGGACTGACAGACACTATGATATTCACTAGCACTCCTTTGTGGATAACAACACCATATTTTTATCTTGGTCGTTGATAAAATGTTGTTACTGGATATCACTGTTTTTTAACACAGACAACAGCATATACACGTAACTCTACCCTTTTCGTGAACTACGAGAGAATTTATTGTATGCATAAAGTGTTTTTTCATAATTTGCAACAAAACAAAAGCAAATTGGTCTTTGCTAGAAATGTCAAAAGAACGGGTGAGTGGTTCCTTGAAATTATTTTTGAATATTTTTTAATTATTTTTGCATTAGTATCGCGCCCAAGTTCATATGGAAAACAGTTTTAATTAAAAAAAAAACGTATTAAATTATCCCGTTCACAAGTCCCATCATCCATTAGGATCGTATGAGTACCACGTGTACTGCAACTAAAGTAACAGTGGTGTGTCTATGGCAAGAAAAATTGATGCAACCCTCTTCCAACAAATGTAGAATTAGCAATAAAGATAAAAAAAATTATTTGCAAAAAAGCATTAAATGAAAAGAATAATATTACATTTTTTATTGTTTAATTATTGAATTGTTCACTGAGAATGAAAAGTGATTCTGTGCGATAGACAGAAAAAAAAGTTATAATTTTGTTTCCTTTTGATGAATAGGAACCAAAACCCAGGAAAAACTTCGAACAAAGCTTAGGAATGCGATGGAAAAGAGGGATAAAAAATTATTAATCAAAGTCATCAGTGAATGCGTATCGTCCGGAATAGCAGAACTTGAGCCTGACATCGCAGAAGCTAGACGTTTAGTGAACATTTTACGTGGAGGAACTGGAGGTTAGGATATATAAACAAAATGCAGGATCTTATTTTTTTATTTCTTAATAGAAAAGTGTATTACATTTCAAATATATATATATATATTTATTATAGATAAAAATATAGAATTATAGTTAAGTTGTATAACAATACAAAATTCGCTTTCTTTCTTAAAGTCATTCCGCTTAATAATTTAAAAATTGAAGAAATCTTGTAGAAAAGTAATTTTTGCTCAAGTTTTGTAGGATAAGATAAATTTCCTCATAATTTTGGCTTCATGAGGTTACGATATGTAGATTTCAACATAAACTTTTTAAAAACTATTGAGTAATATTATTTATGATTTTGAGAGAATACCACAGATTTGATCAATATATTATTTAAATTTTGTTAAATTTTATTACATTTATTTTTATCGGAAATAGAACATTTAGTTATATAGATAGTGTGGATAAAGGTATTATGACCGACATTTTCACACGTCAGGCTATCTTCAGACCATAGTTACTACTCATTTCACATGCTCTCTATATAGGCCAGTGGAGGACTAATGGAAAAGAAGAATGTGAAATCTACCCTCCACTGCTTCTTTTTAGAGAATTTATAGTCATATTGTTTATTTATTTATTTGATTTATTTGTTTTACAATTTTCTTCGGTTGTAAATTTGGGTATTTGCAAAAGACGAAATAAAATTCCATAACCTGGATATAATATATTTTATTCCAAATTACAACCAAAATGAATAAATAAATAAATAGATAAAAAAAGGCCTGTTTATAAATATTCTAAAACGTTTCTTAATAAAAGAACTGGGAAGGATCGGTTTCTTCCTTCCTTCCCACACTTGTCTTAATCTTCCAGTGACCTATATATGCAGTCTGTGAAAGTAGTAACGCATGGTCTGAAGATCGTTCTGCCTGTGTGTTTGTTTGTGTACCTTTGTGTACCTTTGTGTTTGATAGAGATGTATTTAGTAGACATAGGTTTTATAACAAATGCCCTATCTTCTCATAAGAATTATCGAATAAAGACCTTTTTTATTGATATTATTTCGATGATTAGCCGTTAAATCAGCTGGGACACTGCGAGAGGAACTTGCCGAAGCTTTGAGACAAAATGATGTCGAAATCCTGGAGAAAATAATCGATGAATGTGAGGCGGTTTGCTATCCTGAATTATGCACTGAACTTCAGGAAGCCAGAATCACTTTTAGCATTCTTGGAGGCCGACGCGAAGGTTAGTTCCATAATGCATGAACTCGCGAAAGAATGTTTAGTACTTTATCTTGTTTAAATTTTTTCACACCTTTTACATGAGGGTGTATTTTATGATCGAATTAGTCCAACTGTTTTTATTTTTCTAATTTGAAAATTGTATTCGTGTAGTAAGATTTAGAAGGTGAATTTAAAACATCTGAACCGGGTATAAATATTTAATAGAAATTAGTAGTTATTTGCAAAGAATTTCTTAGAGATATAAATCTTTGTAAGCACCAAAAACGGAATGTTCATCTTCTACTGACCAGAACCAGCTTCCTTACTTTATTATTTTGGAGTAGAGTGGATTAATTTTTTATTATCATTATAAAGAATAAAGCAAAATTGTATTAGTATTAAATGTTAATGAATAAGATGAATTTAAAATTTTTTCTACTGATAAATTTGCCAGAAGATGAATTGGTCAGCCCTGATAGTATTCGCGACAAACTGAAGAAAGCCATCACCTCAAAAGATGTAAGTGATCTGCAAACTGTGATAGAAGAGGCAGAAAAGGCATCCCTTCCAGAAGTGAGTTCTGATTTGCGCAGAGCCAGAGACACACTGGAAAGTCTGGGAGGCGGACGCGGAGGTTAGATTTCTTTCAGAAGTGATTGCTGTAATATATCCTGATTTTGTGTATTTCTTTGAATACATTCTAATTTATTCAATGGCTAATTCTTGGTAATTGTCGTTCGTTAGGAACTAAAACTGTCGCTAGTCTGCGTGATAAACTGGATGAAGCAATGAAAGGAAAAGACAGAATTGTGTTGGAGAAAGTGATCAGCGAATGCATCTCAGCTGGAATGCCAGAACTGGCGGTTGATATCCAGAAGGCTCGTAGTGTCGCAGACATTCTTCGGGGTGGCACTGGAGGTTAGACGAATCGAATTATTTATTAAAATTTGTGCCATTAAATTGAGCAATATCATGACATTTGTCTTCTTTTAAAAACTTCTATTTACTTCATTTTGTTCGGTAGATGTGAAATCTGCAGACACTTTGCGTGACCAACTGACAATGGCTATCAGACAAAAGGACATTAAGGCTTTGGATAAAGCCATTGGAGAAGCTGAAGTTGCCAGATACCCGGAATTAGCCTCTGACCTTCGTAAAGCCCGAGATTCTTTACAGAAACTCGGTGGCGGTCAAGGAGGTTAGTTTTTCAAAGCTGCATGCTCCGAAACTTATTATTTTTATTCTTTGCAAATTTCGAGATTATATATATATATATATATATATATATATATATATATATATATATATATATATATATATATATATTATATATATATATAAAATTTAAATTGTTATTTCACATTAGATAAATGTTTAAAATAGATTGGAAATACGACTGTTGAATGACATATTTCAATTATAGGTACGTTATCACCGGCAGCTTTAAAAGACAAATTGTCTACAACCATGAGAGGAGGCGATAAGGACATTTTAGACAATGTAATTAGTGAATGTGTAGCTGCAGGAATCCCAGAACTAGACAGTGTCATCGAAGAAGCCAGACGTATGCTCCTTGCTAGGGAATACGCCGGTGCACAAGGTGCGTTCTTAGCACATAACGTGATTTGCGTATGCATTTTATAGTTATTTTTCTCATGCCATTCAGACATTAGTTCAACTTGTAGGATTGTTAAATATTTCACTCCGAATTTTTAATCTGTTACTGTTATGCTTGATCAATATTCGATAGTAATTAATGAATTACATATTATTATTATTATTATTATTATTATTATTATTATTATTGTGTTTAGAAAACTATTGTTTTTATTTATAAGTTTTTGTATTGCCCCTTTTAAAAATCCTTCGCTTCATACGAGAAATTGTTCCATAGATTTTTCTGCTTTCTTATGTAAATGGGAAAGATATCATTAACGCCAATCCCATATTATCTATCTATCTATCTATCTATCTATCTATCTATCTATCTATCTATCTATCTATTATGCGTGAATGAAAAATATTTTGAAATCTAGTATAAGCAAAAGTGTTTGTTGTTATTAGAAATTCCCACAAAATCCGTCCGGGCATTACGGGATCAACTTGAGAAAGCGACCGAAGCAAAAGATAGAGACAGTCTGGAAAGAACGATCGAAGGTGCTGAGCAGGCTGCATTGCCAGAACTGAGCTCAGTGCTACGGAAAGCAAGACAGGCCCTTCAAAGCTTAGGAGGTGGTCTTGGAGGTTAGCGCTTTCACTTTAATTTCTTTCTGACAATTTCCTTTCCAGTTTCTCTGCTATTTCATGAGGATCAATCGTTTTCACACTGAGTAAAATGATAATGTTAATCGAACTAATGGTGTTTCTTTCTGTGAAATGTTCTCTTATTAGGAACGACCAGTCCGGAAGGATTGAGAGCAAAACTAAATGAAGCCATGAAAAAAAAAGACAAATCCTTCCTTGATAAAGTCATCACAGAATGCGTATCAGCCGGAATACCTGAATTAGACGTTGATATCGAAAAGGCTCGAGGGTTTTTAGATGTTCTACGCGGAGGAAGTGGAGGTTAGAATCGAATGTTCACGTCTTAAATAGTAGCTATTCTTACATTCCAACTCTAATGTTTGACAAGATATATTTTTCATTATTTAGTAGTTTCCAAATAATGTATCATGAATATATTTTATAAACTTGTTTCATATAAATCTTTGTGCATGAGAAATATTAATATTCACAATCTTCTAAGCGAAAACGAAATTTTCTGGATAAAATTATATTTTTCTACATTTTCTATCATCGATACGTATTACATATTGGTTTCGCTTATCAGATGTTAAATCCGCGGTGAGTTTGCGTGAGAAACCTGCCAAAGCAGTGCGAGGAAACGATTTGAAGGCGCTGCAGAACGCCATAGAAGAATGTGAAGCTGCTAGATATCCAGAATTAAGCTGTGATCTGCAAGAAGCAAGGGAATCTTTGGAAAATTTAGGAGGCGGCCGCGGAGGTCAGTAATTTGTTTTAGTGATTTTGATAATTAAAACAATTAATCATTTTGTATGACTCAGCAAATTCAAAAGATTTTTTTTTTATCAAACTAGCGAATAATTCTTACAACAATGCAATCTGTAGGATAATATGAGATTAGAGCCGGTCAGATTTTTTCGTTACTCACTTTGAATCCGTTAAATAATATTGAAGTTAATATATTTGTCCCATATAGATTTACATTTTGAATTTTATGGATATTTGTGTTGATCAGTCATGTCATTTATTTTATTTTATGCATTAGGAAACGCATTGTGTGACACATTCCCTTAGAAATGCAAGAAAATATATTGGTATTCATTTTGAAATAAACAGTTATACGACACCGTCTTTAAAAAAAATGAAAAAATTAAATTTGCAAAATATTGTTATTCACATTGAGCGTTCATTAAAATAAAGTGCGTCTTATCCAATAGGAACATTATCGTCTGAAATACTACGTGACAAACTAAGAAAAGCAATGCAAGATGGCGACAGAGAGAATTTGCAAAGTGTCATTAATGAATGTGTAGCTGCTGGTATGCCAGAGCTTGATTCTCCAATACAGCGAGCAAGAAGACTTCTCGAAGACTTGGAAGAAATAGCGACAAGAGGTGGGCATTGAAGGCTTCAATTTATCGTTCCGCATCGATTTATTGTTTAAAATGTTAGATAGCGTATGTGTTCAAATATTTTTATATAAGTAAGAAAAATGATATACAGAAATTATTTAATATTTTCCAGAGGTATGCATGAGTTTTGATTTGAAATTTTCAAAATGAAACATTAGAACTAATCAAATGAACTGTCCTGTTCTTAGCAGTATTTAATTCTTTCTTGTTGTTGCATTTGCTAGAAACTTTCTGGGTTAGTCCTGACAATATCCGCGACAAACTAAAGAAAGCAATCTCCTCAAAAGACGTAAGTGTTCTGCAAAGTGTAATAGAAGAGGCCGAAAAAGCAGCTCTTCCAGAAGTGAGTTCCGATTTACGCAAAGCCAGAGACACACTGGAAAGTCTGGGAGGAGGACGTGGGAGGTTAGATTTCAGTCAGAATTTATTGCTTTAATAAATCTGAATTTTGAGCATTTTCTTAAGAATACACCAATGTTCTGTTGGCTAATTCTTGGTAATTATTGTTTGTTAGAATTAAATCTATTGCGAGTCTGCGTGATGAACTGGATGAAGCAATGAAAGGTAAAGATAGAATTGTGTTGGAGAAAGTGATCAGCGAATGTGTATCAGCCGGAATGCCAGAATTGGCGACAGATATCCAGAAGGCTCGAAGTGTAGCAGACGTTCTTCGTGGTGGCACTGGAGGTTAGATTGGTAGTTTCATTACCCAAGATATTTGCATTTGATATTAGTTTGAATTTGATTATATTTTTTTAAGTGTTTATATTTCATTTTAACTTGTTCGTCAGATGTGAAATCTGCAGACACTTTGCGTGACCAATTGACCATGGCTATCAGACAAAAAGACATCAAAGCTTTGGATAAAGCCATTGCAGAAGCCGAGGTGGCCAGATACCCAGAGATAGCCGCAGATATTCGTAAAGCACGCGATTCTCTGCAGAACCTTGGGGGAGGTCGAGGAGGTTAGTTTTGTAAAGGTTTATTCTACAACATATTTCCTATGTAAATTTCATACGTTTATGACAGTCATAAGATCATGTCGATAAATCACTGAATTATCCATCGGTTCATATTCAGTGATTTAAAATTAGTTTTATATCAATAAAACCAACAGTTATTAATGTAGATGTTCAGTTATTGTTTCGTCTAATGTATTTTCAATACTTTTACAATTATAACATGTATTATAATTATGAATATATTCATCTGAAATATGTACACGAAAAAAGAAATAACAAAAGATTTAAGGAAATAACCGGAGTATTGTCTGTTGAAGCTATAATCTTTCATTTAAATCGATATTTTAGTTGTTCTAAATCCTTAATATTGACCCGAAATATAAGATTGCTTTAACGACTTTCAAATTGTAGGTACGTTATCACCAGAAGCTTTACGAAACAAATTGACTACAGCTATGAGAGGAGGAGACAAGGACATTTTAGAGGATGTGATTAGTGAATGTGTAGCTGCAGGTATCCCAGAATTGGACAGTGTCATCGAAGAAGCTAGACGCATCCTCCTGGCTAGGCAATACGCTGGTGCACAAGGTGCGTTTCCTTGTACAGAAACCTATTTACGTGAATAGTGTAAATTTATAATTTGATAAAGTTGTATTAATTAATATTAACTTAAAATTATTAATATTAACTTTAAATTGTAGGACTGTGTCAAATATTTTACACCGATAATGAAAACGCTTTTCTTCCTGAAATAAATATTTGAATCGTTTTTTTTATAGTTACCGCGGCTCTGTATTCGGTAGACAATAATGAAAAGAAGAATTTCTGTAGATTTGTGAAGATAATTGCTTCTTTCGTCAAATGGAGTTTCTTTTTCCGTGTGTTTTAACACCTTAGAAAAGGAAAGATATATAATTCGTGACAATGTCATTTAATTTAGTTTTCTGGTTGTCTATTTATCAATAAATGAAAGAAAAAAAAGATGTAGACTTGGATATTTCATCTTTAATATAAACTAAATATATGTTGTTATTAGAAAAGCCAACGAAATCCGTACGGGCGTTACGAGATCAACTTGAGAAAGCGACCGAAGCAAAAGATAGAGACAGTCTGGAAAGAACGATCGAAGGTGCTGAGCAGGCTGCATTGCCAGAACTGAGCTCAGTGCTACGGAAAGCCAGAGAGGCCCTTCAAAGTTTAGGAGGCGGTCTTGGAGGTTAGCGCTTTCTCTTAGATTTCATTCTAGCAATTTCCTCTCATTTTTTTTTTTGCTCTTTCCTGTGAATGAATAGTGTTCGCATTGAGTGGAATATTAGTATCAATCGAATTAACGGTTTCTGTTTCTATTAAATATTTCTTTTAGGTAAGACAAATGCGGACAGCTTGAGAATAAAATTAAATGAAGCCTTTAACAAACAAGATAAGTCCCTCTTTGACAAAGTCATCACTGAATGCGTATCAGCTGGAATACCAGAATTAGATGCTGACATCGAAAACGCACGAAGACAATTAGACATTCTACGCGGAGGAAGTGGAGGTTAGAATTGAATGTTCATGTATTAAAACGGAATTATTTTCATCGCTTTACATGAGACTTTTTGTAATTCTAATGTTAACCAGGATATTTTGCTCATTAGTGACTACAAATTCTCCGAATCTTCATATGTATCCTGTAAATTTATTTCCTATTGTTGCTAATGAGAAAAATTACTGCTTACAAAATGTCCACACGATAGGAATTTTTCTGTTAAATATTATATTTTCCAATATTCTCTATCATCGATAATATATACATATATATATATATATATATATACAACTACAAATCTACATATTGGTTTCGCTTATTAGATGTTAAACCCGTGGCGAGTTTGCGTGAGAAGCTTGCTGAAGCTGTGCGAGAAAAAGACATGAAGGCGTTACAGAATGCTATCGAAGAATGCGAGGCTGCTAGATATCCAGAATTAAGCTGTGAACTTCAAGAGGCAAGGGAAATTCTAGAAAATTTAGGAGGCGGTCGCGGAGGTAAATAATGTGTTTCAATAATATTGATAATTGAAAGAATAAATAATTTCTTCATGAGGCGACAGAATCAAAAGAAATTTTGTCGAATTAACGCATGTCTTACAATAAAACGATCTGAAAAGTTATATTTCTGGTAGAAACTTTAGGAGGATATCTGATGAGTGCCATCTACTTTTTATATTCGCTTACAGTGAATCCGTTTAAATAATATTGAAGTTAATATATTTATTAGATATAGGTTTAAATTCTGAATTCTATAGATATTTGTGTTGATCTTTCATATCTGTTTATTTTATCTTATGCATTAGGAAACATATTGTTTGAAATTCTTCAATCTTTCTTAGAAAAGGAAGAAAAATATTGTCATCGCAATTAATCGGATATGGAATATATTATGAATAATGTGTTTATTCGTTTGAACCATTTCTTAAATATTAAATTTTAGTAATTTATTAGGAACGTTATTTTTTCGATATTTTTAATGACGCTTCGTTCATATTTACTTGGATGCAACATCATCATGAAATACGTCATTATTCATTTTGAAAAACACCAGGATAAATTCTACAATGTTATCTTTTTATTTAATAAAAAAAAAGAGAAAAAATATAGTCATATCAGTTAGTTAAATTTGCAATATATTATACATCACATTGTTATTCACATTGAGCGTTCATTAAAATAAAGTGCGTCTTATCCAATAGGAACATTATCGTCTGAAATACTACGTGACAAACTAAGAAAAGCAATGCAAGATGGCGACAGAGAGAATTTGCAAAGTGTTATTAATGAATGTGTAGCTGCTGGTATGCCAGAGCTTGATTCTCCAATACAGCGAGCAAGAAGACTTCTCGAAGACTTGGAAGAAATAGCGACAAGAGGTGGGCATTGAAGGCTTCAATTTATCGTTCCGCATCGATTTATTGTTTAAAATGTTAGATAGCGTATGTGTTCAAATATTTTTATATAAGTAAGAAAAATGATATACAGAAATTATTTAATATTTTCCAGAGGTATGCATGAGTTTTGATTTGAAATTTTCAAAATGAAACATTAGAACTAATCAAATGAACTGTCCTGTTCTTAGCAGTATTTAATTCTTTCTTGTTGTTGCATTTGCTAGAAACTTTCTGGGTTAGTCCTGACAATATCCGCGACAAACTAAAGAAAGCAATCTCCTCAAAAGACGTAAGTGTTCTGCAAAGTGTAATAGAAGAGGCCGAAAAAGCAGCTCTTCCAGAAGTGAGTTCCGATTTACGCAAAGCCAGAGACACACTGGAAAGTCTGGGAGGAGGACGTGGAGGTTAGATTTCAGTCAGAATTTATTGCTTTAATAAATCTGAATTTTGAGCATTTTCTTAAGAATACACCAATGTTCTGTTGGCTAATTCTTGGTAATTATTGTTTGTTAGGAATTAAATCTATTGCGAGTCTGCGTGATAAACTGGATGAAGCAATGAAAGGTAAAGACAGAATTGTGTTGGAGAAAGTGATCAGCGAATGTGTATCAGCCGGAATGCCAGAATTGGCGACAGATATCCAGAAGGCTCGAAGTCTAGCTGATATTCTGCGTGGTGGCACTGGAGGTTAGATTGTTTTTTTATTTCCAATTTGATATTAGTTTGAATTTGATTATATTTTTTTAAGTGTTTATATTTTATTTTAACTTGTTCGTCAGATGTGAAATCTGCAGACACTTTGCGTGACCAACTGACCATGGCTATCAGACAAAAGGACATTAAAGCTTTGGATAAAGCCATTGCAGAAGCTGAGGTGGCCAGATACCCAGAGATAGCCGCCGATATTCGTAAAGCCCGAGGTTCGCTACAGAACCTCGGAGGCGGCCGAGGAGGTTAGTTTTGTCATGGATTAGTCTATAAAATATTTTCTATGTTAATTTCGATGCATTTATAACTCTCATAACATTGTGTAGTTAAATCTATGAATTACTCACCAGTTCATATTTTCTTGTTGTCTAAGTGTGACCAAATTACATTTTAGTTATAAATTCGGCCAATATATTTTAAATATTCTTAAAAATGTAAAGCACGCTTTACACACACACACACACACACACAAACAAATATATATATATATATATATATATATATATATATATATATATATATATATATAATAAAATCCCTGAAACATATCTCTGAAATTTCAGAATATAGACAGTATTTTATGTTGTATTAGACAGAAAGTCATAATCCTTTATCTAAGTTGATATTTCTGCGGTTATAAATCCTCAAAATAGGCTCGAAAAATGATGTTCCTTTAATGATTTTCAAATTGTAGGTACGTTATCACCGGAAGCTTTACAAAGAAAACTGACTTCAGCCATGAGAGGCGATGATAAAAACCTTTTACAGAATGTGATAAGTGAATGTGTAGCTGCGGGTATCCCAGAATTAGACAGTGTCATTGAAGAAGCTAGACATATCCTCAAGTCTAGACAATACGCTAGCTTACAAGGTGCGTTCTTTGTACAGAAAGTTATTCACGTGAATAGTGTAAAGGTTTGATATCGTCCTAACTTTACTTTTAACTTTTGTAATGTTTTAAATGTGAATGAGTCGGGAATCCGATTAGCTAGCTTAACCCATTCTCCCTTTTCGGACTCGTGCCATTATTGTATTAATTTACAATAAATCTCAATAATGAATATTCTTTTCCTCTTGAAATAAATATTTGAATCGTTTTTTATAATTACAACCGATCAATATTAGTTAGTGATCAATGAATACATTAACTGATGACAATTCCTTTTTTGTCAAATAGTTTCTGTATTTCATTTTCACTAAGTGTTAGCAATCTTAGAATGTACATGACTCATATTTTCACAGAAATTTCTGTTTTCATATAAAGAATGCGAAAAAATAATTAACGTTCAATCTCATTCAATTTGTTTTTCTGTCAGTCTACATATTAAAAAATCGACAAATATCCAATGGACTTACCCGTTTTTTATCTATCTCCCTATAAATAAAAGACATCGACTTGAGCAGTTCATGTTTAATATAAACTAAATATTTGCTGTTATTAGAAACGTCAATGAAATCTGTACGGGCGTTACGAGATCAACTTGAGAAAGCGACCGAAGCAAAAGATAGAGACAGTCTAGAAAGGACGATCGAAGGTGCTGAGCAGGCTGCATTGCCAGAATTGAGCCCAATGCTAAGGAAAGCAAGAGAGGCCCTTCGAAACTTAGGAGGCGGTCTTGGAGGTTAGCTTTTTCTCTTAGATTTCTTTCTGACAATTTCACTCACCGTTTTTGTTGCTATTTTGTGAGAATTAATCCTTTTCGCAAATCAAATTGACAGTGCTTGTTTCTGGGAAACGTTTTTTTTTCATTAGGGAAGACAAGTCAGCAGAGTTTGAGAGCAAAATTAAAAGAAGCCATGAAAAAACAAGACACATTTCTACTTGACAAAGTAATTACTGAATGCGTATCAGCCGGAATGCCTGAATTGGACGCTGACATCGAAAAGGCACGAAGACGATTAGACATTTTACGCGGAGGAAGTGGAGGTTAGAATTGCATGTTCACATCTTAAATCTGCGTCGTTTTTACATCTTTAAATAAAACGGTTTCATTTTTTTTAGATTAACATGGCCATATTGTACATTAATTTGTTTCTTACTTAACAAATATCAACCTCAGTTTCAGTAAATGTATCCGTTCTATATATTTAATATCAATATTCTTGCACGAGATATATAACCATGATATTACAATTCTTCTTGTGCTTTCCTTACTTATTTAGTTGGTTACCATATATATTACACTCTGTCAATACCTCATAAATATTAATTAGGAAGAAAGGCGTTAAAGACATATAAGAGACACTTTTTATATCAGTAAAAAAATGAAAAAGAAAAAGGATCTCTCATGTGTTTAACATCTGCTTCAATGAAATGGAAAAAAACAACCTCAAATCTTTTTTATTTGTACCCTCTTACTTCTTTACATAATGACCCGTATTCATGTTTATGGTTGTTATTATAAAACTTAGTCAAAGATGTTAAGCTCAAATATTTAAGGAGCCAATTGGTGAATTCCCGTGGGTATTTTGTAGTCGTAGAAATCGCTAAGTGCATATTTAATCATTAATTTAAGAATTATGATTCATAAGAAAATTCAGATTTTTACGAGTACAGTGTAACCCGGATATAAGAGACCCGGATATAAGAGAAACCCGGATATAAGAGAGATTTTATCTGATCCGAAATTAGAGCCTGTGTTAATGTATATAAATTAGACCAAACCCGGATATAAGAGAAACCCAGATATAAGAGACTTCTTCTCCGGTCCCGACAACTCTCTTATATCCGGGTTACACTGTATTACTCTTTGATTATATTCTGTGGCGAAATGGAATATTCTATCAAATATTGATTTTCCAATATTTTCTATATGAATAATAAATATATACGTGAAACTACAAATCTGAATCTTGGTTTCGCTTATCAGATGTAAAATCTGTGGTGAGCTTGCGTGAGGAACTTGCTGAAGCCGTACGGGGAAAAGATTTGACGACATTACAAAAAACTATTGAAGAATGTGAAGCTGCTAGATATCCAGAATTAAGCTGTGATCTGCAGGACGCAAGGGAAGCACTAGAAAAATTAGGTGGTGGACGCGGAGGTCAGTATTTTGTTTTAGTGAACTTAATAATTGAAAGAATTATTTACCAATGAGTAATAAAAGTCCGATGATCGATTATCTAATTATAGCATAATTCGCAAGATAACACACTCTGAATGCTTAAGATTCATGCAGAAACACTAGAAGAAGATTTAATAAATACCTGTTAGATTTATCTGTTTATATTTCTGCGATGAGGTATTATGTATACTATTTACATTCTTCGGACTATTGTCCTCATTTTTTGTCGCCATATTTAAATATGGCGACAAAAATGAGGCCTTCTTCAGGTGGTTGGAATGTCCAGTGACAAGACCCAAAGAGTTATGAGTTCAAAACCTGGTTAAGGCAGTGACGAACTTGGTGAGGTGAATTAACAGGAGATAACTGATAAACGACACTCATTAGATATGGCACGTGGAACTAGAACAGTCTACCCCAGGGAACGAAATAAAGGGTTCAGTTCGTCACTCCAAGCACCTGAAGAAGGCCAGAGCGTACAACGACCGAAACGCTGTGATAAATATGGCAACAAAAATGAGGACAATAGCCCGAATAATGTAAATAGTGTCGTCAGATTTAATCGTTTGGTTTAATGAATCTATATACTAGAGTCATATAGTTTGTAATTTTGATCATTTAAATACTGTGAAATATTTTAAGAGCGATTAGAAAAGAAAGAGAAATTATAGTTATATTTGAAATATCTTGTATATCACATTGTCATTCGCATTGATTGTTTATTAATATAAAGCGTGTCTTATCCATTAGGAACATTATCGTCTGAAATACTGCGTGACAAATTAAGAAATGCAATGCAAGATGGCGACAGAGAGAATTTACAAAGTGTCATTAATGAATGTGTGGCTGCTGGTATGCCAGAGCTTGATTCTCTTGTACATCGGGCAAGAAGACTTCTAAAAGATTTGGAAGAAACTGCTACAAGAGGTGGGCATTGAAGGGTTCTTTATTAGTTCCCATGTATTTTGCGTAATTTATTGTCAGACATTTTTTAGAAAAGTATAATTTTAAATATTTTTTATAAGTGGACCAAATCTATCTATCTATCTATCATATTATTAACATTAACATTATAACAACATTTCACTCTATTTTGTTATGATATTTGCTAGAAACTCTCCGGGTCAGTCCTGATAATATCCGCGAAAAACTGAAGAAAGCAATTGCCTCAAAAGATGTAAGAGGTCTGAAAAGTGTAATAGCAGAGGTTGAAAAAGCAGCACTTCCAGAAGTGAGTTCCGATTTACGGAAAGCCAGAGACACACTGGAAAGTCTGGGAGGCGGACGTGGAGGTTAGATTTCAGTCATATTAATAAATCTGAATTTTGTTCATTTTCTTAAGAATACAACAATGTTCTGTTTCTAATTTTTGTGATTATTGCTTGCTAGGAATTAAAACTGTTGCGGCTCTGCGTGATAAACTGGATGAAGCAATGAAAGGTAAAGACAAAATCGTTTTAGAGAAGGTAATCACCGAATGTGTATCAGCTGGGATGCCAGAGCTGGCGACTGATATCCAGAAGGCTCGAAGTGTAGCTGATATTCTTCGTGGTGGCACTGGAGGTTAGATTGGTAGTTTTATTTACCAACACTTTTGTAGTCGATTTTATTTTAATTTTGACCCTCTTCTTACAAATGTTTATATTTCATTTTAACTTGTTCGTCAGATGTGAAATCTGCAGACACTTTGCGTGACCAACTGACCATGGCTATTAGAGAAAAGGACATTAAGGCTTTGGATAAAGCCATTGCAGAAGCTGAGGTGCTCAGATATCCGGAGATTGCCGCAGATATTCGTAAAGCCCGAGATGTGCTACAAAACCTCGGTGGCGGCCGAGGAGGTTAGTTTTGCCAGGTTTCATTCTTCCAAATCTATTTACTTGTCAATATAGGATTATTTATGACAGCCATTACCTTATGCATATTTACCTTAGAACGATTCATACGCTTAAATTTAAAATTTTGCTCAGCTTTAAATATATATATATGCATGCTATTAAAATTCTAGTAATATGTATGCTAGTAAAATCTGTCATATTTTATATCCTTGATTCGTTGATTCTCTCTCTCTCTCTCTCTCGCTATCTTTGCCTGAAAAACGATGATGAATAATGAAACCTATTAGCGATTGAAATAAACAAATTAGACGTAATATTTTCCATTTTTAGAAGAATCAAAAATTTCATCTTTTAAATAAGATTATATAAAAGATGTGACAACTGCGTAAAATACCTCGAAATATGACTTATGAATAATGACATTGAAATTATAGGTACATTATCTACGCAAGCTTTGAGGGAAAAACTTATGACCACGATGAGAGGCGGAGATAAAGACATTTTAGAGAATGTGATTAGTGAATGTGTAGCTGCAGGTATACCAGAACTGGACAGTGTCATCGAAGAGGCCAGGCGTACACTCATGGCTAGGGAATACTCCAGTGCACAAGGTGCGTTCTTTGTGTATTACGTGATTTGTATAAATTTTGGTTGGTTGATTTTGTTTTATCTATATATCAACCTCTATGGGTTATTTAATGCCGAAAGTTAAATATTTTGAAGCAGTCTATCTATCTATCTATCTATCTATCTATCTATCTATTTATCTATCTATCTATCTATCTATCTGTCTGAGTCTGCTCATCTATCTATCTAACTATCTGTCTGTCTGTCTGAGTCTGCTTATCTATCTATCTATCTATCTATCTATCTATCTATCTATCTATCTATCTATCTATCTGTCTGAGTCTGCTCATGTATCTATCTATCTATCTATCTATCTATCTATCTATCTATCTATCTATCTATCTGTCTGTCTGTCTGCCTGAGTCTGCTCATGTATCTATCATCTATCTATCTATCTATCTATCTATCTATCTATTTTTAACTCAAAGAAGACTTCTTGTTTGTTATTTCCTATTTAACAAAAACGTGTTTGCCATTATTAGAAAAGCCAACAAAATCTGTACGGGCGATACGCGATGATCTTGAGAAGGCGACCAAATCAAAAGATAGAGAAAGTCTGGAAAGAATGATCGAAGGTGCTGAGCAAGCTGCATTGCCAGAACTGAGCTCAGTGCTGCTAAAAGCAAGACAGGCCCTTCAAAGCTTAGGAGGCGGTCTTGGAGGTTAGGATTTTCTCTTAGACTTCATTTTGGCATTTTCCATTCTCTTTTTTTTTTCCTGCTATTTTGGAGGAATTAATCGTTTTTACTTGGACTAATATGTTAGTGTTAATCGAATTAACCATGTTTGTCTCTGGAAAACATTCTCTTATTAGGAACGGCAAGACCGGAGAGTTTGAAAGAAAAACTCAATGAAGCCATGAAAAAACAAGACAAAGTTCTACTGGGGAAAGTAATCACTGAATGTGTATCAGCTGGGATGCCAGAATTAGACACTGACATCGAAAAGGCTCGAAGGGAGTTAGACATTCTACGCGGTGGAAAAGGAGGTTAGGATTGAAAAGTTATTTCTTGACACTTCGTTATTGTCATATGTTCCAATGAAATCTTGTAATTTCGATAATGATGATTTAAGCTAAATTTGTCTCTAATTAAAAATTATCATCATAAACTTCGTGACAAAATGCATTCTATAATTACATTTTTGTGCATGCGAATATTTACTATGAACGATTTGTTGGGGCAAAAAGAGGTATTCTCAGTTTTCAACATTTTCGCTGTCGGCAATGTTTATTTGAAAATCTGGTTATCGTTTTTATTATTTGTAAATCTGGATATTGGTTTCGTTTGTCAGATATTAAATCTGCGGTGAGTTTACGTGAGAAACTTGCCGAGGCTGTGCGTGGAAAGAATCTCAAGACGCTAGAGGAAGCTATTAAAGAATGTGAAGCTGCTAGATATCCAGAATTAAGCTGTGATCTACAGGAAGCAAGGGAAACCCTAGAAAGTTTAGGAGGTGGACGCGGAGGTCAGTAATTTGTTTTAGTGACATTTATTGAAAGAATCAATGAATTGCAATGACGAAACAAAACAATGGATTATCGAATGATTCGCAGAATAAAATTATCTGAATGGTCCTGCTTATTCCAGAAATGTCAGAATTAAATATCGTAAAGATTCGTCAGAATTAATCGTCTTGTTTGGTTAATCCGTTTGCTAATAACAAAGTTCACTTAGTTTTTGTACATAGTTTAGACTAGCCTTTTATTGTTATTTATTCAAATTAATTCGCAATAAAATATACTGGGTAAAATTTTGAAGACCATGTTAGAAAAGGAAAACCAAATATTGTTATCGCAAATATTTAGATTTTGAATGTATTGTACGACATCGCATTTTCATTCGAGTTGAGATTTTATTAATATAAAATGCGTTTCATTCATTAGGAACATTATCGTCTGAAATACTACGTGACAAACTAAGAAAAGCAATGCAAGATGGCGACAGAGAGAATTTGCAAAGTGTTATTAATGAATGTGTAGCTGCTGGTATGCCAGAGCTTGATTCTCCAATACAGCGAGCAAGAAGACTTCTCGAAGACCTGGAAGAAATAGCGAAAAGAGGTGGGCTACGAAGAAATCCTTTTGTCGATCCCAATTATTTTATGATTTAACATGTTTACCATATTACAATGAATGTTTTTGATATATGTAACGGGAAATATTGTCGTTAGAACTGATACAGATTTATAGCAACCTTTCAGTTTATTTTGTTGTTGCATTTGCCAGAAACACTAAGAGTCAGTCCTGAGAATATCCGTGACAAACTGAAGCAAGCCATTGCCTCAAAAGACGTAATTGATCTGCAAACTGTGATAGAAGAGGCTGAAAACGCAGCCCTTCCAGAAGTGAGTTCCGATTTACGTAAAGCCAGAGACACATTGGAAAGTCTGGGAGGAGGACGTGGAGGTTAGATTTCAGTTGAAATTTATTGCTTCAATAAATCTGAATTTTGTCTATTTTTTAAAAAATAGTTTCCCATTTATCGTTGCCTTATTCTTGGAAATTGTTCCTTGTCAGGAATTAAAACTGTTGCGGGTCTGCGTAGTAAATTGGATGAAGCAACGAAAGGTAAAGACAGAATCGTATTGGAGAAAGTGATCAGTGAATGTGTGTCAGCTGGAATGCCAGAATTGGCGTCTGATATCCAGAAGGCTAGAAGTGTAGCAGACATTCTTCGTGGTGGCACTGGAGGTTAGATTTATAGTTTAATTTACAAACAATTTTGCGATAAAACTTAGGTATGTTTTTATTTGTCTGTCATCTTTCAAATGTTTATATTTCATTTTAACTTGTTCCTCAGATGTGAAATCTGCAGACACTTTGCGTGACCAGTTGACCATGGCTATCAGACAAAAGGACATTAAGGCTTTGGATAAAGCCATTGGAGAAGCTGAAGTTGCCAGATACCCGGAATTAGCCTCTGACCTTCGTAAAGCCAGAGATTCTTTACAGAAACTCGGTGGCGGTCAAGGAGGTTAGTTTTCCGTAGTTTTATGCTACGAGATATATCCGTTTGTCAATCGTCAAAGATAATATCGTTAAATATATTTAGCTCTATATACTTTACAACACCACACAATATCCTTCTACCTTGAGTGGCTCTTGGGCTTGTATTCGCTAAACATTAGTATACAATGTATCGTATATAAAAATATTGTTTATGCTTTCGATCTTTTCATATAGTGATTAACGATTATTAATTTAACATTTGTGGAATGTCGTTGGACTTGTTTTAAAAAAACTTTAAACATACATAATTATGCCCGAAATATATATATATATATATATATATATATATATATATATATATATATATATATAAAGAGTAATTAACGAGTGAAAATAAGGAGAATATATAAAAACTTTTGGATCTATTTTTCTCTTTTGGCTAAGAATTAAGTTTCACATTTTTTAACATAGCTTTGACATGTGATGCTATTCGATATAACTTGTATATGATGACTTTCAAATTCTAGGTACATTATCTACGGACGCTTTACAACAGAAATTGACTACAGCCATGAAGGAAGAAGATAAGGATGTTTTAGAGAATGTGATTAGTGAATGTGTAGCTGCAGGGATCCCAGAATTAGACAGTGTCATCAAAGAAGCCAGACGCACTCTTATTGCTCGTGAATACCGCGGTGCACAAGGTGCGTTCCTTTGTGTCTAACCTGATATGGATGAATGCAAAGTTAATTGTTTAAATGTCATTCTTATGCAAATTTTCATTGACGAATTGGCATCATCAAGACAGTAGCCCTACTCATATGTACACTTTCATCTGCTTATAGAAATCGTTGTTCACTATAAAGCACTGATTGTCGTAAAATTTGTAGAAATCTGAAGTTAATTTCTTATTTTTTGAGAGTAACTATATTTTATTAATCTTTATTTATACAAACATCCCAGTTTTCTAAGAGTGATGTATGTCTGATAGTTATCATCTTTTTATCTGTTTCCATGTGGGGAATTTAAAAATAATTAAACTTATATAAAATCTCTCTCCTTCTATCTATCTATCTATCTATCTATCTATCTATCTATCTAACATAAATGAAATTAAAACATTTAGCTTGATTCATTTATGTTTAATGTAAACTAAATCAAAAGATAAAAACAGTTTGGAAAGAACGATCTAAGGCGTGCAGCGGGCGTCATTGTTATAATTAACCTTATATTCTATCTATCTATCTATCTATCTATCTATCTATCTATCTATCTATCATAAATATAAACAAAATCGAGTTGTTCATTTTATGCTTAATATAAATGACATTTTTGCTGTTGCTAGAAGCGCAAACCAAATCCGTACGGGCGTTAAGGGATCAACTTGAGAAAGCGACCGAAGCAAAAGATAGAGACAGTCTGGAAAGAACGATCGAAGGTGCTGAGCAGGCTGCATTGCCAGAACTGAGCTCAGTGCTACGGAAAGCAAGACAGGCCCTTCAAAGCTTAGGAGGCGGTCTTGGAGGTTAGGATTTTATCTTAGATTTCATTCTGACAATTTCCATTTCTATTTCGGGGAAATGAATCGTGTTCATTTTGAGCGTTAAATGAGTGGATGTCGAATATAGAGTTATTGATTTATTATACCTTTTCTCATTAGGAACGACGAGTCCGGACATTTTGAGAGAAAAACTCAATGAAGCCATGATAAAACAAGACAAATTTCTACTTGACAAAGTAATCACTGAATGTGTATCAGCTGGAATGCCAGAATTAGACGCTGATATCGAAAAGGCTCGAAGAAAATTAGACATTCTACGCGGAGGAAGTGGAGGTTAGAATTGAATGTTTACATTTTAAATCGTAGTTGTTCATACATACAAAAATAAAAAGATGCCTAAGTTTGTTTCTTACCTAAACTTTATTATCGTAACCTTTGTGACACGAACATTAAATTCTGTAAACTGGTTTAGTATTAATTTTTGTAAGCCAGGCATATCCCGATATACAGTACTTTGTTGTGAAAGGGAATTCTGTTAAATCTTATATTTTTGCACACTTTCTATATCAATAATATGTATGTGAAGCTCAAAATCTTAATCTTGGTTTCGCTTGCCAGATGTTAAATCTGCGCTGAGTTTGCGGGAGAAACTTGCTGAAGCTTCGCGTGGAAAAGATTTGAAGGCCTTACAGAAAGCTATCGAAGAATGTGAAGCTGCTAGATATCCAGAATTAAGCTGTGATCTGCAGGAAGCAAGGGAATCATTAGAAAATTTAGGCGGCGGTCGCGGAGGTCAGTATTTTGTTTTAGCGACATTAATAAATGAAAGAATAAATGTCTTTGTATATCGATTATCGAGTTCTCATAATCCGCACAATATAATTTGAAATTTCTCCTGCTAGTTTCAATAATACCGGGTGGAAATATAATTAATGTTCTTCAGATTTAACGTATATAATCGAGTATAGTGCGTTTTTTTTTTTCATCTGTTTTACGCAAAAAAGGGGTTACTCTGTACGCATGTATTTTTGGGGAGGTTAAAAATCATGCATTTTGGTGACCTTTGCAGTATATACATGTATTTTTTCCGGAAGGGTTAAAATTCATGCCAAAAAAATCAGGGGTCGCACTACACACGAAGTCATATTATACAAAAGTATAAAAGGTAATCGTCCTGAAAATATATGAATGAAAGTATATAAGGTAATCGTCATGAAAATATATGAATGAAAGTATATGAGGTAATCGTCATGAAAATATGATTGAAAATAAAAAAAAGGCAATCGTCCTGAAAATATATGAATGAAAGTATATAAGGTAATCGTCCTGAAAATATATGAATGAAAGTATATAAGGTAATCGTCCTGAAAATATATGAATGACAGTATATGAGGTAATCGTCTTGAAAATATATGAATGAAAGTATATGAGGTAATCGTCTTGAAAATATATGAATGAAAGTATATAAGGTAATCGTCTTGAAAATATATGAATGAAAGTATATGAGGTAATCGTCTTGAAAATATATGAATGAAAGTATATGAGGTAATCGTCTTGAAAATATATGAATGAAAGTATATGAGGTAATCGTCCTGAAAATATATGAATGAAATATATGAATGAAATTATGAGGTAATCGTCACGAAAATATATGAGGTAATGAAAGAATATATGAGGTAATCGTCACGAAAAATATATGAATGAAAGTATATAAGGTAATCGTCCTGAAAATATATGAATGAAAGTATATGAGGTAATCGTCACGAAAATATATGAATGAAAGTATATGAGGTAATCGTCTTGAAAATATATGAATGAAAGTATATAAGGTAATCGTCCTGAAAATATATGAATGAAAGTATATAAGGTAATCGTCACGAAAATATATGAATGAAAGTATATGAGGTAATCGTCACGAAAATATATGAATGAAAGTATATAAGGTAATCGTCTTGAAAATATATGAATGAAAGTATATAAGGTAATCGTCACGAAAATATATGAATGAAAGTATATGAGGTAATCGTCTTGAAAATATATGAATGAAAGTATATGAGGTAATCGTCTTGAAAATATATGAATGAAAGTATATAAGGTAATCTTCTTGAAAATATATGAATGAAAGTATATAAGGTAATCGTCACGAAAAAAATGAAATATGAATGTCACGAAAATATATGAATGAAAGGAGGTAATCGTCACGAAAATATATGAATGAAAGTATATGAGGTAATCGTCACGAAAATATATGAATGAAAGTATATGAGGTAATCGTCCTGAAAATATATGAATGAAAGTTATGAGGTAATCGTCACGAAAATATATGAATGAAAGTATAGAGGTAATCGTCACGAAAAATATATGAATGAAAGTATATGAGGTAATCGTCACGAAAATATATGAATGAAAGTATATGAGGTAATCGTCTTGAAAATATATGAAAAGTATATATGAAAATATATGAATGAAAGTATATAAAATCTTCTTGAAAATATATGAATGAAAGTATAATCGTCTTCTTGAAAATATATGAATGAAAGTATATAAGGTAATCGTTCTGAAAATATATGAATGAAATATAAGGTAATGAAAATATATGAATGAAAGTATATGAGGTAATCGTCACGAAAATATATGAATGAAAGTATATGAGGTAATCGTCTTGAAAATATATGAATGAAAGTATATGAGGTAATCGTCTTGAAAATATATGAATGAAAATATATGAATGAAATATGAGGTAATCGTCACGAAAATATATAAATGAAAGTATATGAGGTAATCGTCTTGAAAATATATGAATGAAAGTATATGAGGTAATCGTCACGAAAATATATGAATGAAAGTATATGAGGTAATCGTCACGAAAATATATGAATGAAAGTATATGAGGTAATCGTCTTGAAAAAAAATGAAAGTATATGAGGTAATCGTCACGAAAATATATGAATGAAATTAATGAGGTAAATCTTGAAAATATATGAATGAAAGTATATGAGGTAATCGTCACGAAAATATATGAATGAAATATATGAGGTAATCGTCTTGAAAATATATGAATGAAAATATAATAATCGTCCTCAAAATATATGAATGAAAGTATATGAGGTAATCGTCCTGAAAATATATGAATGAAAGTATATGAGGTAATCGTCACGAAAATATATGAATGAAAGTATATGAGGTAATCGTCTTGAAAATATATGAATGAAATTATATGAGGTAATCGTCACGAAAATATATGAATGAAATTATATGAGGTAATCGTCACGAAAATATATGAATGAAAGTATATGAGGTAATCGTCTTGAAAATATATGAATGAAAGTATATAAGGTAATCGTCCTGAAAATATATGAATGAAAGTATATGAGGTAATCGTCTTGAAAATATATGAATGAAAGTATATAAGGTAATCGTCCTGAAAATATATGAATGAAAGTATATAAGGTAATCGTCACGAAAATATATGAATGAAAGTATATAAGGTAATCGTCACGAAAATATATGAATGAAAGTATATGAGGTAATCGTCCCTGAAAGCGGAATCAATTAAATGATATTAAAGATAAAATATATTCTTAAATACTTTAGTTTATCTTTTATCTTCATTGGAGAGTTTTGTTTTTGATCGTGCATCCTTGTATATCGTATTTTATTCATTATATCCATTCACTATAGATCAAATAGTTGGAGACACCATCTGGATTTAATAATTAGTAAACTTGATGCGTTCTTTGATTTAATTCACTCCAACTGAGTTAGGTGGCTGAATTTATTTAACCTATTAATGCATAGCGTCCAATTTTTAAGAGAGTGAAGGGGGATCTTAAAATAAAAATTACGTCAGCCCCAAGATTACCATTACCAGTCAGCAAGGTAGATTCGATAAAATTAAATAAATAAATAAAATTTACGGAAATGGGTTTATATCGCAACATTTATTATTATTAAATATATGATAAATTATTTAAAAAAGAAAAAATTCCTCCGTCCCAAAGTGAGTTACGAAATTAGTTTTGTAAAATGAACGCAAAATTCAGTTTTTAAACGATTCTTCGAAATCCATAAGGTGGTCCAACTTTTGGACCATTAGTGTCCGTCGTAGGATATTGTTGACAGAAATAGATTTGCAATAGCGTTTTAATCATATAGTCATTCAGCTGTCCCATTTATTAATATGAATTGCATTTGATTCCTTAGGTACTTTATCGTCCCAAGTGCTACGTGACAAACTAAGAAAAGCAATGCAAGATGGTGACAGGGAGAATTTGCAAAGTGTCATTAACGAATGTGTGGCTGCTGGTATGCCAGAGCTTGATTCTTCTATAAAGCGTGCGAGAAGACTCCGCGAAAACTTGGAAGAAATGCCAAGCAGAGGTGGGCAATGAGAGTTTCATTGCGTTGTACATAAGAATTTTAAATATTTGATCAATTTTCAATTAGCTGTGTTTACTTCCTGTTATTGAATAATTATACATGCATCCATACATGCATAGATATTTTTTTAATCATTTTACTACAAACAAGGCAATAATACCACTAAGACGCAAGGTATTACTAATAGTTAGAGAATATAAGAAAAAAACATTATTAAAGAGAAAGAACAAGAATTAAGAAGACAGTAGATAATGATTTACATTTAATTTTTTGGAAATCAAAGTTGACTGGAAAGAAAGAAACCAGAAGAACGTTCCACAAGAAATCATAGACTTACGGTTACATCTAGATATTTCAACTGTAAAATGATGAGACCTTTCTATCAATCTAGAACTGCACTGAAATTCACAAAGCCTAGGTACTGTAGAGAAAGGTTCATCAGAACAATTACCATGCCAATATTTATAGAAGAGGTATACACACACACACACATACACACACACACACACACACACACATATATATATATATATATATATATATATATATATATATATGTATATGTATGTATGTATAGCACATCTTATCTTTTAAGTAGGTATATTTAGATAATTTGGCTCAAGTTATGCAAAGCAAGTCTTATACATTTTCATCAGCATGTCAGTCTATTTTGTTTTCTAGAATATTTCGAGGCCAGTCCTGACAATATCCGCGACAAATTGAAGAAAGCTATCACATCAAAAGATATAAGTGATCTGAAAATTATGATAGAAGAGGCTGAAAAAGCATCCTTACCAGAAGTGAGTTCTGATTTACGCAAAGCAAGAGACACACTGGAAAATCTTGGAGGCGGACGTGGAGGTTAGATTCCAGTCGGATTTGACTGCTTTAATAAATCTGAATATTGTGCGTTTTTCTTAAAATTATTTTCAATTGTTCGCTGACTTATACTTAGTAATTCTTACTTATCAGGAACTAAAACTGTTGCGGGTCTGCGTGATAAATTGAATGAAGCAATGAAAGGTAAAGACAGAATCGTGTTGGAGAAAGTCATCAGTGAATGTGTGTCAGCCGGGATGCCAGAATTGGCGACTGATATCCAAAAAGCTCGAAGCATATCTGACATTCTTCAGGGTGGCACTGGAGGTTAGATTTATAGTTTTATTAACTTTTATATTATATATTTATTTTTCTTTTGTTTGGCATCTTGCTGATATTTCATTTTAAATTGATCATCAGATGTGAAATCTGCAGACACTTTGCGTGACCAACTGACCATGGCTATCAGGCAAAAGGACATTAAGGCTTTGGATAAAGCCATTGCAGAAGCTGAGGTAGCCAGATATCCGGAGATAGCCTCTGACCTTCGTAAAGCCCGGGATTCTCTCCAGAAACTCGGTGGCGGTCAAGGAGGTTAGTTTTACGAATTGTTTAGGTTTTATTCGTTTGTGAATCTTCAAAGCCGTTTCTTTAGTTTAGGTCTGTACATTTAAACACTTTTTGTCCGGTGATATTTTCGTTTTTTAAAAAATGTTATATATATATATATATATATATATATATATATATATATATATATATATATATATATATATATTTTATGAAAAACTAGGTAATCTGTATGGGTAAACCTAAGGAGGATAAAATCCAAAGAGCTCAATGTAAATCCAGAGCAAATAATTTAAATAAATGGTGAAATAATTTATTACATGGAACCTTAAAGTGGTCTGTTTTATTTAAATTATAATTATATATATATATATATATATATATATATATATATATATATATATATATATATATATATAATTAAGTATCTGTTTTAGACACGTTGTATATTTCTGTCTAAAACATCTACAGGAATAATAATGAAAGTAAAATAACTAGAAATTACATGATATACTTCTATGTTCAATAAAGTTATAAACTTTTAACAAAAATTATATATCAGTCCTCAAAATGTATTTGAAATATGACGTGTGCATCGTCGCTTACATATTATAGGTATGTTATCCACGGAAGCTTTACGAGGCAAAATAACTACAGCCATGAGAGACGGAGATAAGGATGTTTTAGAGAATGTGATTAGTGAATGTGTAGCAGCAGGTATGCCAGAACTGGACAGTGTCATCAAAGAGGCCAGACGTAACCTCATTTCTAGAGAATATGCCGGTGCACAAGGTATGTTCTTCTGTGTCCAATGTAACATTTTCTTTTATGTCTCTGTATATATAATGGCGAATATACGCAGGTATTGGCTTTAAGAAAGCTATATTCAACTGAAAGTATAAGGTTTGCGTATAGTGTCCTTTTATAGTCCCATTGAGCAGAAATATCTCTCTCAAAGAGTATAATGAGGAAACAAGGGGAGACCACTGTTGATTATTTATAACAGTATGTATATATGTATGTATGTATGTATGTATGTATGTATGTATGTATAAAAGGTTTATTGTTTAATGTCGGTGTTAAACAACTTTTTTTGTTTCCCACTAATTATCAAGATTATAGTCAGATATTTTATTCGATTACTTCAATATTGTGTTCAGATCAATAAGTAGCCTAATAAAATAAATAATTAAATAATTTATTTCATTCAATAGTGAAACTATTTTCGCCAATTATACAGAAATTTCATTCTTCAAGGATTTATCTAGATTCAGATGAACCATTGAAAATATACATTTAATATTACATTCGTGCTATCTATCTATCTATCTATCTATCTATCTATCTATCTATCTATCTATCTATCTATCTATCAGTCTGCTAGCTGTTTCTTTAACATTAACAAACAAATATTTCTAGATGTTCTCGTATTTTTATATACACTAAATGTTTACCGTTCATAGAAGTGCCAAGAAAATCCGTACGGGCGTTACGAGATCAACTTGAGAAAGCGACCGAAGCCAAAGATAGAGACAGTCTGGAAAGAATGATCGAAGGTGCTGAGCAGGCTGCATTGCCAGAACTGAGCTCAGTGCTACGGAAAGCAAGAGAGGCCCTTCAAAGTTTAGGAGGCGGTCTTGGAGGTTAGCGTTTTCTCTTTGGTTTCCTTAGAAAAATTCGTATTCTATTTTTCCACTAATTCCTTGGAATAATGGTGCGTTTGTTTCGAGCGGTAGATCAGTCCTTGGGAAATTGTTTTTAATTTGGGATATTTTTTCTCATTAGGAACGACGAGTCCGGAACTTTTGAGAGAAAAACTCAATGAAGCCATGAAAAAACAAGACAAAGTTCTACTTGACAAAGTAATCACTGAATGTGTATCAGCTGGTGTACCAGAATTAGACGCTGACATCGAAAAGGCTCGAAGAAAATTAGACATTCTACGCGGAGGAAGTGGAGGTTAGAATTTACTGTATGTGTATTGAGTTATAGATATTCGCTGTAAAATGAAAATTAATTCCAAGAATCAATTGTATGTTATTTAGCATTACAAATTTAGTTTCTTTGCATGTCAGAATCTCGTCATATTGATATATTTTTGTACTAATAAACTTTAGTTAGATGGAGACATTTAAGTTTGCCTAGCTCGTTATATTTTGATAGAGCATTACAGGTTCGAATTTTTCCTTTAATAACAATATTTCCTGTAACATTTAGAAGTTGTTTTAGAAGTGCGTTTCCCTCTACTTTTTACTCTTCTCCATTACGGAGACACTTTTTTTTGGATTGTGAAATCGGGGAAATAAAGCTGAATTATTTCTAGACGTATTACGCTGAGAGATTTCTGATTAAATGTCGACCGATTTGAAATCCTGGAAGAAATCTAAAATGTTCTCATCTTTTTATAAATATTCAAATACTTGATGAAAACTTAGTATGATTTTTCTTTGGCAATCTGTTCCATTTAGCTATTCTCTAGATGATTAATTTGCTTATATTATTTATATTGGCGTCAAAATTATATTGAATTCAGTCAGCAATGTGCTTGCACTTGGGCGATCATGTATCTTTCCATACATGAATGACGAGGCAGATTTTTTCCCGCAGTAGATTGCCATTTCTTTCTGTGGCAGACTGGTTGCCTGTCAAGGCTAAAATACTCAGTAGCTGGGGCAATGGGGAGAGAAGGATCTATAGCCCCCCGGAGTATTTGTGCGAAAGTGAATCTAAAGAACTCGACTCCGAGCCAATATCCATCACATCACAACGCACATCAGATCTAAGTCTAAGCTGGTCATAAGCTGGTCATAGCTTGTCGAAGCTGGACTTAGCTGGTCATAGCTTATCTAAGCTGGTCTTAGCTTGTCTAAGCTGGTCATAGATTGTCTAAGCTGATCTTAGCTGGTCATAGCTTTTCTAAGCTTGTCTAAGCTGGTCATAGATTGTCTAAGCTGCTGGTCATAACTGGTCATAGCTTGTCTAAGCTGGTCTTAGCTTGTCTATGCTAGTCTTAGCTGGTTGTAGTTTATCTAAGCTTGTCTTACCTGGTCATAGTTTGTCTAAGCTGGTCTTAGCTGGTCGTAGCTTGTCTAACCTGGTCATAGGCGGTCATACCACCGCTACGTAACAGTTGTGACGCTACGGTGATGGGTGTGGGGACGCAAACGATACTAAAACCGCAACATCAAATCCGATGAGAAGAAAACATAAGTAATTTCTATATTGCTAATAATAATAATAATAATAATAATAATAATAATAATAATAGTTTAAAACTTCTATGGAAGACTAATAAGAATGGTATGAATCGTATAAAATCATTTTTACATTGAGAATGTTTCACACCCCGTTGTTGAATGCTTTTATAAGTGTGACTATTGATTTCGCTTGTCAGATATTAAATCTGCATTGACTTTGCGCGATAAACTTGCTGAAGCTGTGAGAAGAAAAGATATAAAGGCATTAGAGGAAGCTATTGAAGAATGTGAGACTGCTCGATATCCAGAATTGAGTAGTGATCTTCAGGAAGCAAGGGAAACCATGGAGAAATTAGGAGGAGGTCGCGGAGGTTAGTAATTTGTTTTAATGTCCTTAATTATGCGCCACAACATTAATAATGCCTCTTTAACGAAGACTTCATCAATATATTGATTATTGTGCGTTCATTCATATAAATGATTGTACATCCGTTAAAATTTGTATCGTGCGAATATTTGTTGTCAGATTAGAAAATCAAGAAAACACACAAGTATTGTTAACATTAACATTTAGAATATGTCTCAAATCATGTCGTCAGTAGTGCTGATCATTTCTTCGAATTGTGTCTAATCCACTAGGAACGTTATCATCTGAAGTACTACGTGACGAACTAAGAAAGGCAATGGAAGATGGTGACAGAGAGAATTTGGAGGGTGTCATTAAGGAATGTGTGGCTGCTGGTATCCCAGAGCTTGTTTCTCCTATAGAGAGAGCAAGAAGACTTCTCGAAGACTTGGAAGAAATGCCGACGAGAGGTGGGCAATAAAGAATTCATAACTATGATCTCAAGTACTTTTTTATCGGATATTCACTTAGGCAATTTTACGTTCAGTAGTACATATAATTTGAAACAATATATATATATATATATATATATGTGTGTGTGTGTGTGTGTGTGTGTGTATGTATTTGGGCAGCAAAGAAAATACCAGTATAAAAGCTTCATCCAAAGTACAAAAACACGTCTTTATACTTATTGTATATTTTTAGACCTTTAAAACCAAATAATAAAGTTGATCTTTGAAGTTAATGGTATTTTACAAGAATATGAATGTAGATCGTTTTGAGATTTTGAACGAGAAATATGTTTGTTGTTTTGATACGGGATCACTCACATATTTATAGTAAATTTCAGCTTATTTTCTTCTTGCATTTGTCAGAATCACTATGGGTCAGTCCTGACAATATACGTGACAAACTGAAGAAAGCCATCGCCTCAAAAGCTGTAAGTGATCTGCAAAGTGTAATACAAGAGGCTGAAAAAGCCGCCCTCCCAGAAGTCAGTTCTGATTTACGCAAAGCCAGAGACACACTGGAAAATCTGGGAGGCGGACGTGGAGGTTAGATTTCAGTCAGAAATAATTGCTTTAATAAATTCGAATTTTGTGCATTTTCTTAAATAATTTTCGATTGCTCGTTGGTTTATTCTTGCTTATTGTTGCTTGTTAGGAACTAAAACTGTTGCGGGTCTGCGTGATAAACTGAATGAAGCAATGAAAGAGAAAGACAGAATCGTATTAGAGAAAGTAATCGGCGAATGTGTGTCAACTGGGATGCCAGAACTAGCTGCTGATATCCAGAAGGCTCGAAGTGTAGCTGATATTCTTCGTGGTGGCACTGGAGGTTAGATTGGTATTTTTTTTAGTAAAATGTTTCTGAAATTGGTTTTAGAAATTTTTTATTCAGTACAAATGTTCATATTTCGTTTTAACCTGTTCATCAGATGTGAAATCTGCAGACACTTTGCGTGACCAACTAACTATGGCAATCAGACAAAAGGACATTAAAGCTTTGGATAAAGCCATTGCAGATGCTGAGGTAGCCAGATACCCAGAGATAGCCTCCGACCTTCGTAAAGCCCGAGATTCTCTGCAGAAACTCGGTGGTGGTCAAGGAGGTTAGTTTTGTAAAATTTTTATTCTATGAAATTTATTCAAATTTCAGATTCGGAAAACAATGCCTAACGTTGGCCATTAAATTATCTCCACATATATAGTGTTGTGTATGATGTTTTTATTTTTTCGATAATTAGAAAACTTCTATGTCTATACGAATTCGGATTTTATTATTGTTATGACAGTGTTTAATTTTCGTAGAATTTGTTATCTATTATCGCTTACCAAACTTTAACGTACACAAATAATAATTAATGAAGGAAAATCTATAGAAATACTGTAATCAATTGGTCTAATTTTCTGAATATGGAAGAATTATCCAATCATTTATCTGAGATGCTATATAAGATAAAAAACATGTTTGAAATAGATTGGTAATATGTTGGTTTTCAAAATTGTAGGTACGTTATCACCGGAAGTATTACGAAGCACACTGGTTACAGCCATGAGAGGAGGAGATAAAGATATTTTAGACCATGTTATTAGCGAGTGTGTTGCTGCTGGAATGCCAGAACTGGATAGCATCATCGAAGAGGCCAGAGGCACTCTCATGGCGAGGGAAGACGCCGGTGTAAAAAAAGGTGTGTTCTTCGCGCATAATTGAATTAAATTCCTAAATACTTCATTCTCAATGTCAGTTACATATTGTATTCAATACCACGTTTACTCAAATTCAGTATTTTATATAGATCATTAACTAGTGGAACTGTAGGCATTAGAAAACGATTACGTATTTCGTTAAAGTTCCTATCTATCTATCTATCTATCTATCTATCTATCTATCGCTCTTATAAACGAAAAACATTTTCTTGGTCATTTGTTATTTTGTTATATACCCTAAATGTTTGTTGTTATTAGAAAAGCCAACGAAATCTGTTCGGGCGTTACGAGATCAACTTGAGAAAGCGACCGAAGCAAAAGATAGAGACAGTCTGGAAAGAACGATCGAAGGTGCTGAGCAGGCTGCATTGCCAGAACTGAGCTCAGTACTAAGGAAAGCAAGAGAGGCCCTTCAAAGTTTAGGAGGCGGTCTTGGAGGTTAGCGCTTTCTCTTAGATTCCTTCCTGACAATTTTCCTTCATTTTTTTTGTTGCTATTCCGCGAGACTGAATTGTGTTCGCTTTTAGTAGAATATCAAAGTAAATCGAATTAACGGTTTCTATTAAACGTTTTCTTATTAGGAAAGACAAGTGCGGACAGTTTAAGAGAAAAACTAAGTGAAGCCATGAGGAAAGAAGATAAATCCCTACTTAGCAAATTAATCACTGAATGCGTATCGGCTGCAATTCCGGAATTAGACGCTGACATCGAAAAGGCTCGAAGAAAATTAGACATTCTACGCGGAGGAAGTGGAGGTTAGAATTTATTGCCTAATGTCAGCTCTCGCTGTAAATTTGAAATTATTGATTGTTTGTTTAACTTTAATATAGTTGACATATAATCGGTTATCTATAAACTATAAATTTTATAATCGAATTGATTTAAAGCATTTGTTTTATTCAGATATATTTTTAATAAGTGAAATGATTTATGCATATTTAGCTTGAAAAACATTTCGATAGATTCATTGTAGGTTAGAATTGTCTCTTGAAAGCAAATATTTTATCTCCCAAGCGTGTGTAATTTTGTTATTATAAAAACATTGCTGAAATCTAATTTTCTCCCTGTTTGATACTATTGAACATATCTATTTGTATAGTCATTGAACGCAAAACCATTTGCCTCAACAATCAAAGTATGTTTTAGGAAAGTTCTGATGATAAGTTTCGTCTTCTCGATTTTATCTTCCACAGTTATTCTAAATATAAACTGACTTTTAATAAATTTTCACGTAATATCTGTTCCCTTTTAGAAAATCGTTTTCCTTTACGTATTCCACTTGGGATACATTTCATAACAATAATTTGTATGTGAAAAAAATTATCATTTCTTGCCGATAATAAGTTTAAAAACAGGCAGCTGTTGTTAAATGCTATGAGTCGTAGAAGATATTTTCACATTGAAAATGTTTCGTGTCGCGCTGTTAAATAAGTATTAATATTGGTTTCGCTTATCAGATGTTAAATCTGCGTTGAGTCTGCGCGAGCAACTCGCCGAAGCCGTGAAAACAAAAGATGTGACGTCGTTACAAAAAGCTATTGAAGAATGTGAAGCTGCGAGATATCCAGAACTGAGTTGTGATCTAAAGGATGCAAGGGAAACGCTAGAAAGAATGGGCGGTGGACGCGGAGGTCAGTATTGAATGGATTAAGTTTATATAGTTCGAAATAAGCCATGTTTCAAATGCTGAAAACTAAATCAAATGAGTCGATAATTTAATTAATAAACAATTTGCATATTAAAAATATTTCCGAGATCGATAATTTTGGATATCTTTTGAACATTTTAAACACTTACACTGAATGTTGATTTATGTAAATCGCCATTTTTAAACTATAGAAAAATACCGGATTCATTTTTTTGCTGATAAATTTAGCGAAAAAACAGAAATACTCTTTATTATAGATTGGAAGTCTGAGAAATGAATCAAATGAACCGTTTATTAAAATAAAGTGCGTCTTATCTATTAGGAAATTTATCGTCTGAAATACTACGTGACAAACTAAGAAAAGCAATTCAAGATGGCGACAGAGAGAATTTGGAAAGTGTTATTAATGAATGTGTAGCGGCTGGTATGCCAGAACTTGATTCCTCTGTACAGCGAGCAAGAAGAATTTTCGAAGACTTGGAACAATTGCCGAGAAAAGGTGGGCATTGAATGTTTCATTTTATGGTTAGGACTGTTTTCTATATTTCATTAACAGTTTAAACAGGCCTAAAATCGTATATAAAAATGGATATATATATATATATATATATATATATATAAATTTTTCGCATTTGTTCCTTACCTTATTCTGTTGGATTTCTATCCATGTTTGATACCCCCTACCACAAATATAAATACACACACACACAGATATATATATATATATATATATATATATATATATATATATATATATATATATATATATATATATATATATTCCCTTGTATGGAATATCATTCAGATCATAGAATTTAGTCTTTATCTATTTATAATAACATTAGAAAAATGTTCTTTCATTTTTAAAGTAGAATAAGTCTGATTATATATAGAAACATTTAAGTTGATTTTTTGTGACGTTTTCTAGAAACACTATGGGTTAGTCCTGACAATATCCGCGACAAACTGAAGAAAGCCATTGACTCAAAAGATGTAAGTGATCTTGAAAGTGTGATAGAAGAAGCCGAAAGAGCTGCCCTTCCAGAAGTGAGTTTCGAGTTACTCAAAGCCAGAGACACACTGCAAAGTCTGGGAGGCGGACGTGGAGGTTAGATTTCAATCAAAATTCATTGCTTGAGTAACTCAGAATTGTGCGTATTTTCTTAATTTCATGCCTATTCATCGTTGGCTTATTCTTGGTAATCATTGCTTGTTAGGAATTAAAACTGTTGCGGGTCTGCGTGATAAACTGGACGAAGCAATGAAAAAGAAAGACGGAGCCGTTTTGGAGAAAGTGATAAGTGAATGTATCTCAGCCGGTATGCCAGAATTAACGGCTGATATCCAGAAGGCTCGAAGTGTAGCAGACATTCTTCGAGGTGGCACTGGAGGTTAGATTTATTTATTTATTTATAAAAATTTGTGGAATTAATTTTTAGGAATTTCTTGATATTTTTCTTCTTTTCCATACTTTATCTAACTCATTTTTTTCGGTAGATGTGAAATCTGCTGACACTTTGCGTGACCAATTGACCATGGCTATCAGCCAAAAAGACATTAAGGCTTTAGATAAAGCCATTGGAGAAGCTGAAGTTGCCAGATACCCGGAATTAGCCTCTGACCTTCGTAAAGCCCGAGATTCTTTACAGAAACTCGGTGGCGGTCAAGGAGGTTAGTTTTTCAAAGGTTTACTCTCCGGAATATTTACTTTTGTTAAACTTGGAAAAACGGTATTAATTTACATCCAAATATCTGCATAAGTTTTAGCACTTGATGTATTATTTTCTTAATGATCAAGTACATATAATATGTGTGTGTGTTTGTAACTATGTGTGTGTGCTTACGCGAAAGACATATTATGATCATTTATGTTGATGATTATCGATTTAAAAAGAAACATATGGAGTCTATTTTAGTTTATTTTAATAGTGTAAAGCACGCTGTTTACCTCTGTCTAGAAATATACACATAATAGTCAATGAAAAACAATAATGACAAACTTTGTTTCGAAGAAGAAAAATGGATGTAATCTTTTCTGCTGTGATGCATAAATTAGGGATGCATAAATTAAATTCGTTTTAAATTTGACGTGTCTTTGATAATTTTAATATTTTAGGTGCTCTATCAACGAAAGCATTACGAGGCAAACTGATTACAGCCATGCGGGGAGGTGATAGTGACATTTTACAGAATGTGATTAGTGAGTGTGTAGCCGCTGGAATACCAGAATTGGACCGTGACATCGAAGAGGCCAGAGGTACTCTCATTGCTAGGGGATACGCCGGAGATCAAGGTGCGTTCTATGTGCCGGTTGTCATTTTTAGGAATCCTATAAGGCTAATTGTTTAATGCTGTACATATGTAGATTTAAATTGTATGATTTTGTGGAATATCCTATATTTATTAAAAATACGGGCTTCTTCATGACATATATTTTAATCGGTTAGATTTGAGCAATATTCGGTAGTGATAGATGAAAATTGTAATCGTTAGAGATTTAACGAAAATTCCTTGATCCTTCAAATGGAAATTCTGCATTTTATCTTTTCCTCATTCTTAATAAATATCAGAATTCAAAGGATATATATATATATATATATATATATATGATTTATAATTTTATGAAACATATTTGTTTCACAACTCTTTGGCTTCTTTGGGTCCTTTATTCTTAAGGACACATGGCACAGTAGATAAAGGCGTTGGTTAGATCCAGTGACAGGATCCAAAGAGTTGTGAGTTCAATGCCTGGTTAAGGCGTTGGAGAACTTGGAGAGGGGAATTAACAGGAGATGACTGATAACTGACATACATTAGACATGACACGTGGAACTAGAACAGTCTACCCCAGCGAGCGAAGTAAAGGGTTCAGTTCGGCATTCCAACCACCTGAAGAAGACCGAAGCGTACAACGACTGAAACGTTGTGATAAATATGGCAACAAAGATAAGGACAATAGTCCGAATAATGTAAATATTGTACATAATACCTCATCTCAGATATATGGACAGATATTTGATTCATTTATAAAATAAAAAATAGCACCAACAACTTATATTTAGTTTTATCTATCTATCTATCTAGCTAGCTAGCTAGCTAGCTATCTAGCTATCTAAGTAGCTAGCTAGCTACCATAAACGAAAGAAAAATATAGTTGGCCCGTCTATTTCTCTTTTAATATAAACTAAATTGTTTGCCGTTATTTGCTATTATTAGAAAAACCAACGAAATCCGTACGGGCGTTACGAGATCAACTTGAGAAAGCGACCGAAGCAAAAGATAGAGACAGTCTAGAAAGAACGATCGAAGGAGCTGAGCAGGCTGCATTGCCAGAATTGAGCTCAGTGCTACGGAAAGCAAGAGAGGCCCTTCGAAACTTAGGAGGCGGTCTTGGAGGTTAGCGTTTTCTCTGAGATTCTTTTCTGACAATTTTCCTTCAGTTTTTTGTTGCTATTCTGCGAGACTGATTTGTATTTGCTTTGAGTAGAAATATCAAAGTAAAATCGAATTAACAGTTTGTATTAAACGTTTTCTTATTAGGAAAGACAAGTGCGGACAGCTTAAGAGAAAAACTAAATGAAGCCATGAGGAAAGAAGATAAATCCCTACTTAGCAAATTAATCACTGAATGCGTATCGGCTGCAATTCCAGAATTAGATGCTGACATCGAAAAGGCTCGAAGACAATTAGACATTCTACGCGGAGGAAGTGGAGGTTAGAATTTATTGCCTGTGATACTCGCTGTAAATTTAAAATTATTTATTATTTTTTTAAATTAATATAATTGAATTTGGTTGGTTATATATAAATTGGTTCTGTTTAGTTACGTTTAACTATATGTTTTTATATATTTTGGTTAAATGAAATCAGGTTTCTCTAACTTATAATTGATTTTCATAGATCCATTGTAGTAAGAAATATTTTTGATATAAATAATTCATTACTATGTAAACCTCATTTCATATATTAAATATAAAGAAAAATATGAAATGTTATGACGTTTTTTTTTTTGGTGGGGGGAAGGTTGTATTTTTTCTCGAGCACTTTTATAAGTGTGCATATTGGGTTTGCTTATCAGATGTAAAGTCTTCTGCGAGTTTGCGTGAGAAACTTGCCGAGGCTATAAAAGGAAAAGATGTGAAGGCATTGCAGGAAGCTATTGAAGAATGTGAAAATGCTCGATATCCAGAATTGAGTTGTGATCTACAGGAAGCAAGGGAAACTCTTGAAAATTTAGGAGGTGGACGCGGAGGTTAGTAATTTGTTTTACTGATTAAAAGAAAAATTATATTTTTTATGACTAGGCCAAATCAAAAGATCTTTTATCGCATTAAGTTGTAATTCTTACAAGAAAACGATCTGAAAAGTTATATTTATTGCACAAATATTAGGAGGATATCTGATGAGTGCTAGACAGATTTTATCGTAGCTTTCAGTGAATCCGTTTGATAATTTTGAAGTTAATATATTTGTCAGATATAGGTTTAAATTTTGAATTCTATGGATATTCGTGTTTATCATTCATAACTTTTTTATTTTATCTTATGCATTAGAAAATATACTGTGATAAATTCTTCAGCCTTTCTTAGAAAAAGAAGAAAAATAATTATCACAATTAGTCTTCTGTGAGTTTGTGTGAGAAAGTAAAAAGACGTAAATGCATTATAAGAAACAAGTGAAACCCTAGAGAAAATTAGGTGGAGGACGTGGAGATTAGTATAGGAGATTTGCTATATTTATAAACTGGGGAAAATAAACAACTTTCTCATTGACGAAGACTAATTCAATGGATTGATGGCTGAAATAATGAGTGTACACTAAACCATCTGCATCAGAAATATAATAATAATAATAATAATAATAATAATAATAATAATAATGATAATAATAATAATAACATAATCATAATATAATATTATAATATAATATAACAATAATAATATAATGATAATATAATAATGATATAATAATAGTATAAAATAATAAATAATGATGATTTAATATAATAATTTTATATAATAATAATATAATATAATTATAATATAATAATATTAATGATAATAATATAATATAAAATTATAATATAAAATATAATAGTAATAATAATAATATGAAATAATAATAATATAATCATAATATAATAATATCACATAACAATAATAATAGAATAATAATGATAATATAATATAATAATAATATAATAATATAATTATAATAATATAATAGTATAAAATAATAAATAATGATAATTTAATATAATAATTTATATAATAATAATATGATAATAATATAATATAAAAATAATATAAAATATAATAATAATATAAAATATAAAAAATAATAATATAAAATATAATAATAATAATAGTAATAATAATAATAATAATAATAATATAAAATATATTAATAATAATCCTTCCAGAAATATTAGCATCAAATACGCTGGTCAATTTCTACGGTATATGTATGTAAATCTGTTAAATAATATTTAAGTTAACATCATTTTTCTAAATATTTTGTTGTGGATATCTTTTGAAGATTTTCGGCGTTTACTCTGATATTGCGTTCTCAACGATCACGTTTAATCTTTTAGAACATATCTTGTGTGAAATTTATCGCCGCCATCTTAGAATGCAAAAAAAAATATTCTTATTACAAACAGGTTGTTTTGGAATAAGTTGTGAATCCTACGATCATTAGAGTTGGGCGTTTATTAATATCAAATGTATTTAACCCGCCAGGAAAGTTATCATCTGAAAAACTACGTGACGAACTAAGAAAAGCAATGCAAGATGGCGACAGAGAAAACTTGGAAGGAGTCATTAATGAATGTGTGGCTGCTGGTATGCCAGAGCTTGATTCTTCTGTACAGCGAGCCAGAAGACTTCTTGAAGACTTGGAAGAAATGCCGACAAGAGGTGGGCAATTCGGGCTTTGTCCTGGCATTCTTGAGTAGTTGATGTATTTGAATATTTGCCTTCTTTTACACATGTATATGTTTCAATATATATATATATATATATATATATATATATATATATATATATAAAATTTGCTTTATTATATAATCAACAAGGAACACAATCAAACATATCATACATCAAGATATAGCTATACATCATAGGTCAACATCCCTTCTCCTCATCGTATTCACGACCACTTTCAATGGCATTCTTCCACCTACAAATGTCAGCATGTATCTCAGCTTCGTAAAGAAAATCAGCTTTCTACCTATGTAACCAATACCTTACTGCTGTTTTCAATTTTTTATTACAACTTGACTTACCACCTTCAGGCGTCCATCTTTTTGGTATAGTGAAAGACAAACTCAGGGTGGTGATAAATAAGGGAAAACTGGTGTAAGGAATTGGCTACGTCAATAGCCGCATGATGTTTACGAAACTGTGAAAAAAGCACTCATTTATAGATGGAACACTGCCGTTGAAAGAAATGGTGACTATATTAAGATGCAGGGGTGTGAATATGTGATGTATAGCTATATATTGATGCACGATATGTATGACTGATATCCTTATTTCTTATATAGTAAAACAAATTGCATTACTTTTGACTCAATCTTAATTGTTCTCTTCCAACGAAATGCAATCAGATAGTAGACGTTGACATTCATTTATATATCATGAAATTTTCAAGATATATCAATGTGGATATTTTTGAGATTTTGAAAGAGAAATATTGTGAGTTTGGTGCAAAATATGTATTCCCCCTTTTTTGCAATATTTTAGTTTATTTTATTGTTGCTTTTGCTAGAAATTCTCTGGGTTAGTCCTGACAATATCCGCGACAAACTGAAGAAAGCCATCGCCTCAAAAGATATCAGTGATCTGCAAACTCTGATAGAAGAGGCTGAAAAAGCAGCCCTTCCAGAAGTGAGTTCCGATTTACGCAAAGCCAGAGACACACTGGAAAGTCTTGGAGGTGGACGTGGAGGTTAGATTTCAGTTGGAATTGATTATTTTAATAAACCTAAATTTTACTTCTTTTCTTGAATACGGTTCAATTTGCATTTGTCTTACATATGGTGGTTGTTGCTTATTAGGAACTAAAACTGTTGCGGATCTGCGTGGCAAATTGGATGAAGTAATGAAAGGTAAAGACAGAATCGCCTTGGAGAAAGTGATCAGTGAATGTGTGTCAGCCGGAATGCCAGAACTAATGCCTGATATTCAGAAGGCTCGAAGTGTAGCTGATATTCTTCGTGGTGGCACTGGAGGTTAGAATTATAGTTTTTTTTTAAAAAAAAATCATCTTGCGATAGATCTGAGATATATTCTGATTTCTCTGTCCTATTTCAAATGTTTATATTTCATTTTGACTTGTTCATCAGATGTGAAATCTGCAGACACTTTGCGTGACCAACTAACTATGGCTATCAGGCAAAAGGATATTAAAGCTTTGGATAAAGCTATTTCAGAAGCTGAGGCAGCCAGATACCCGGAGATAGCCACTGACCTTCGTAAAGCAAGAGGTTCTTTGCAAAAACTCGGTGGCGGTCGAGGAGGTTAGTCTTCAATAGTTTCATGATACGGTATTTTTTCGTTTGTTAGGAATGCATTTTGAAAGTGTCCATAAAAATAGAATTATTTGATCCGTTGTTATTCAAAATAACTGATCCATCATTAAAGAAAATTATATACATATGTCTAAAATCAACTATTATTTTCAGATAAATAACAATGTTTCCAAATACTGATTCGCACACGATTTCTCTTTTTTTCTGGAAAAACATACATTAAGAAAGTTATTAATAGGATAAGGAAACACTAAATAAATGCTTTTTCTTTTCGTTTAGATATTTAATCCTTTATTTAATCTATGGTGTTTGATTGGATCAGAAATATATCTATCGTTTTGGTGCATAATTATCAGGCGTTTTTAAACTATATTTATTATGTAAAAAAGAAACATAACAATTCAACAGTAACATTTTTAAATGATTATTCCGTAGCATATGATTATTAACACGAATTTTTATAACCTGAAAATAAAACAATATTTTTATTAAAAACGTAAGCAAACCAGAAATTTTTATTAACAAATAACTCGCCTACAAAAACGCCTGGTAATTATGCACCAACCCACTATATCTCTTTGGAAATGTGACGGGTGTTCGATGGCTTTCAAATTATAGGTACGCTATCACCTGAAGCTCTAAGAGACAAACTGACAACAGCCATGAGAGGAGGGGATAAGGATATTTTAGAAAATGTGATTAGTGAATGTGTAGCGGCAGGTATTCCAGAACTGGACAATGTCATCGAAGAGGCGAGACGTACCGTTACTGCTAACGAATACACCGATGCACAAGGTGCGTTCTTTGTGGATTACATGATTTGCATGAATGTCAATTTGTGCTCATGCAAAATTATTTCATGAGTAGAAAATATATAATTGTTAAATACGGACTGAATGTTTTAAATTATTTCAGTTTCAATATCAAAAAGTGCTTCTTATGCAAACGTATAATTTACTCAATCACAATTCCACTACTTGATCTGGTAAAAAATATGCACATTATTTAAAATGAAATTTTTGTTTTGCTCTTTGGAATATAAATAATTAAGGATACATTGAAGAAATTTGCTTATCTTTCTATTTCTCAATCGATCCTTAGAAGAAGCGATTACGTCTTCATCATTTAATTTTTTTCTAATATCTCATTATCTATCTACTTATATACCATATATTCATGCTATCTATCTATCTATCTATCTATATATCTATCTATCTATCTGACAAAATATTTTACTTTGTCATTTCACGTTTAATATAAACTAAATATATGTTATTATTAGAAACACCGACGAAATCCGTACGGGCGTTACGAGATCAACTTGAGAAAGCGACCGAAGCAAAAGAGAGAGACAGTTTGGAAAGAACGATCGAAGGTGCTGAGCAGGCTGAATTGCCAGAACTGAGCTCAGTGCTACGGAAAGCAAGAGAGGCTCTTCAAAGTTTAGGAGGCGGTCTTGGAGGTTAGCGCTTTCTCTTAGATTTCATTCTAGCAATTTCCTCTCCGTCTCTGTTGATATTTTGTGAGAATGAATCTATTTTTAATTGAGTGTAATATCAAATCGAATTGACTCTGTTTGTTTCTGGGAAACGTTTTCTTATTAGGAAAGACAAGTGTGGAGAGCTTGAGAGAAAAACTCAATGAAGCCATGATAAAACAAGACAAATTTCTACTTGACAAAGTAATCACTGAATGTGTATCAGCGGGGATACCAGAATTAGACACTGACATCGAAAAGGCTCGAAGAAAGTTAGACATTCTACGCGGAGGAAGTGGAGGTTAGAATTTACACTGTACTGTTTTATTTTCCGTTGATTTAAAACATTATTTATATATATATATATATATATATATATATATATATATATATATATATATATATATATATATATATATATATATGTGTGTGTGTGTGTGCTTTTTATGACACAAGGTTTTCAAGATTCCTTTCTTTTACTATCCTTATTACTGTGGATTGAACCTATTCTATAAATTTATTTAATATTATTGGCGAATGGGAAATATTAGCAATCATCGTTTTAACCGTCATTTGATTATTTCTCCCTGGTTATTCACGGATGGTTATTATATTATTATATAGGAGTTATTATCTCATATTATTATATAGGAGTCCGTCTTCGCTGACATAAAAGCAGCAAAGTGTTTAGCAAAGTGTTTAGCGATGTTATGATATTATATTATTATATAGGAGTTATTATCTCATATTATTATATAGGGAGTCCGTCTTTGCTGACATAAAAGTAGCAAAGTGTTTAGCGATATTATTATATTATATTATTAAATAGGAGTTATTATATCATATTATTATATAGGAGTCCGTCTTTGCTGACATAAAAGCAGCAAAGTGTTTAGCAAAGTGTTTAGCAAAGTGTTTAGCGATGTTATTATATTATATTATTATATAGGAGTTATTATCTCATATTATTATATAGGAGTCCGTCTTTGCTGACATAAAAGTAGCAAAGTGTTTAGCAAAGTGTTTAGCGATGTTATTATATTATATTATTATATAGGAGTTATTATCTCATATTATTATATAGGAGTCCGTCTTTGCTGACATAAAAGTAGCAAAGTGTTTAGCAAAGTGTTTAGCGATGTTATTATATTATATTATTATATAGGAGTTATTATCTCATATTATTATATAGGAGTCCGTCTTTGCTGACATAAAAGTAGCAAAGTGTTTAGCGATATTATTATATGATATTATTATATAGGAGTTATTATATCATATTATTATATAGGAGTCCGTCTTTGCTGACATAAAAGCAGCAAAGTGTTTAGCAAAGTGTTTAGCGATGTTATTATATTATATTATTATATAGGAGTTATTATATCATATTATTATATAGGAGTCCGTCTTTGCTGACATAAAAGCAGCAAAGTGTTTAGCAAAGTGTTTAGCGATGTTCTGATTGAATTAAATGGATGTACATGATGTCGTACATTTTCGTATAACACCATGTATGTTATTATCTCCATGACTAGATTCTATTATTCATATTGATGTAATGTTGAAATAGAAAAAAATGTAACAACGCTTTTAGAGATTTTTCGTGGATGAAGTGAAAGTTCACACTTCAAGATATCCTCTAAAAATGATTACATCTTTTTTTCCATTCTCCCTGTTATTCCAATGATACCGTAATTACATCCAAAGTTCATTTATTTTCAATATATATTACGAATAAAGGACTACTGTTGGCCGTTAATGTTATTTTTAACGTTCTTTTTGATACTAGGGAATTTTATTTTGCTTTTCTTTTTTATAAATTGTAAAATTTCATATATTTTCATTATTCAATAAACAACTGTTTGAATTCGACTCTGTTTTGATGATGGTTTCACTTGTCAGATATCAAATCAGCAGTTTCCTTACGCGAAAAAATTGCCGAAGCTGTGACAGGAAAAGATATAAACGCGTTGCAAGCAGCTATTGAAGAATGTGAAGCTGCGAGATATCCAGAACTGAGCTGTGATCTTCAGGAAGCCAGGGAAACTTTGGAAAGTCTAGGAGGAGGACGCGGAGGTTAGAATTTTTTTTTTATTCGGTGTCAAAGTCAGGTATGATCAGGCCTTATTTCCCTGAATAACAAATAATAAATATATTCGATTATTCATTAGATAAAGTAATGTTATCATAATTGGTCTTCTGTGAGTTTGCGTGAGAAACTTACTATGAAAGGAAAAGATATTTACATCAAGCAAAGGAAACCCTAGATAAATTTTGGTGGTGAACTTAGACATTAGTTTTCGATTTTTGCTGTATTTATATATTGGGAAAATAAACAACCTTTTCTTTGACGAAGGCGAAATCAATGGATCTGTCGCTGAACTAAGGTTTGCGCACTAAAATATCTGTATAACAATAATCATTGTAGAAATATTAGCATCAAATACGCTGGTCAATTTATACGGTATATGTATGTAAATCTGTTAAATAATATTTAAGTTAACATCATTTTTCAAAATATTTTGCTGTGGATATCTTTTATAGATTTTCGCTGTTTACTCTGATGTTGCGTTCTTAACGATCTCGTTTAATCTTTTAGAACCTACCTTGTGTGAAATTTATCGCCGCCATCTTAAAAAGCAAAAAAAAAAAAAAAGAATTATTCTTATTATAAAAGGTTGTTTTGTTGTGAATCCTACGATCATTAAAGTTGGGCATTTATTAATATCAAATGTGTCTAATCCGCTAGGAATATTATCCTCTGAAATACTACGTAAGAAACTACGAAAAGCTATGCAGGATGGCGACAAAGAGAATTTGGAAAGTGTCATTAATGAATGTGTGGCTGCTGGTATGCCAGAGCTTGATTCTCCTGTACAACGAGCAAGAAAACTTTTCGAAGATTTGAAAGAAATGCCGAAAAAAGGTGGGCTAATAAGTTCTCTTCTTCCCCTGACGTTTTATGTCTAATTTGTCTCATTCATTTTTCTTGTTAATTCGTATTTTTCTCATTTATTAAAGATGTACATCCAAAGTATATTGTAGAAAAGAAACTGTCATTATAATATTTAAGAGTTTTAATGTCCGTTTTTTTTTCCATTTTTATTGTTTCTAGCATAAAGTTTACATCACCCTATTCTCCTGATTTCTCTTTGATGTATATAGACTTTCGAGAACATCGTACAGAGTTACTTGATTGAGTATATTATCATTCATATACATCCCTGTTCTGGTATTTCTCTAAAAATGCTAGATACTCTTATGAACAAAACGGCCCAACTTCTTCCCTGAGAAAGTTGAATTCATTTCCTGGATGTAAGAAAAATGGCTCACTGGAGAAGCATGTCGGCATTACAATATATAAATGCCAGTCACAAGTTTAGAATTTCCCTGATTAGGGCGCCACCGGTTAGAGACAAAATAACGAAAAAAAAATCGTTTGGGATAAAAAAAAAAGAAGACCCCTGTTCATCATTCCCGTATAGTTACAGAATGATATATTCAAGTGGTTCTTAAACTTTGTTTACCCATGGACCACATTTTGTATTCCTATTTTTTTGACGGCGCGGGATAGGGAGGTATCTCCATAACCATTCAATGAAAAAAAGCTTTTTACTAATAGAAAGCTTTAGGAATTGTATTATAGAAATAGTAAACGTATATGCTTTATTTTGAAGTAAAAACTATTTTAATGAAAATAAACTTGTATTTAACTAAATTCTATGGAACATTTATGCACACTAACAAAATAACTTATAATAAACCATTTTATTTTTTTTACAATCAAAACACATGGTACAGTAAAAGGGACGCTAATGTACATAGCTTGATCTAGTTTTCTTCTAGTTTTAGAGTTGTTTTTCTATTTTTAGTATTTTAATATGGCGTAGATTACTGCGTAGATTACAATTCTCAGTTGTAACAACCGTTCCGAAGTGAAACTTCTCTATGGACCACTAAAATATTACCTTGAACCCCCGATTATCTAATTTTGTGTGAACCCACTGTAATGTTATATGGTTGAGAATCACTGATATAAACAAGCAAAAAAAAGGCAGAAGTTAGTTAAACTGTAACGATGTAATAATGGAAAACAAACATGTCATATCCCTTCATAATGTAAGTAACCATAGCTCAACACTTATATATTTTAAATTATCTGTGAATTACCATGACGTCATAGGGAAGAGTGGAATTGTTTCATGGTTATGAATCCAGAGTTTTCCATCTTTTAGAGTTGCTAACATCAAAGAGTAGCGAACCTGTATAGTCTGTTATTTCACCTACAGGTTGTGGGGAGGAAAGATGGATTCGTGACATTTAAAGAACATTTGTGTAAATATAAATGCACCAGACTAGGGATAATAAAATTACATTGTCAAAGATCAACATCTCGTCTCAGAAATTCAAACAAAAATGAACAGAAAATCGACGGAATAATAAGTAATCATGAATGATTTTGAGAATTGGGTAAACAATCACATTGATCTAAAACCGTTAAAGCTATATGACTTTACAGATGTATTAAATGAGTTGGTATTGCTTTTGCTAGATAATTTCTACCTCACTTCTGACAATTTACACGATAAAGCGAAGAAAGCAATTGCTTCAAAAGACGGACAAGATCCCCGAGGTGCAAAAGAGGAGGCGGAAAAAGCAGCCCTTCCAGAAGTGAGTTCGAATCTTCGTAAAGCCAGAGACACTCTGGAAAGTTTAGGAAGAGGAAGCGCAGGTTAGAATTGTTGGAAGTTTTGTTCTTATGTTGTATCTGGATTATATATAATCACTTGCTTATCTATCTATCTATCTATCTATCTATCTATCTATCTATCTATCTGTCTATCTATCTATCTATCTATCTATGTCTGTTCATATCTATGTCTGTTCATATCTATGTCTGTCCATATCTATCTATCTATCTATCTATCTATCTATCTATCTATCTATCTATCTATCTATCTATCTATCTATCTATGTCTGTTCATATCTATGTCTGTTCATATCTATGTCTGTCCATATCTATCTATCTATCTATCTATCTATCTATCTGTCTATCTATCTATCTATCTATCTATCTATCTATCTATCTATCTATGTCTGTTCATATCTATGTCTGTTCATATCTATGTCTGTCCATATCTATCTATCTATCTATCTATCTATCTATCTATCTATCTATCTGTCTATCTATCTATCTATCTATCTATCTATGTCTGTTCATATCTATGTCTGTTCATATCTATGTCTGTCCATATCTATCTATCTATCTATCTATCTATCTATCTATCTATCTATCTATCTATCTATGTCTGTTCATATCTATGTCTGTTCATATCTATGTCTGTCCATATCTATCTATCTATCTATCTATCTATCTATCTATCTATCTATCTATCTATCTATGTCAGATTTTTTATGCCTTTCAATGTTTCAACCGATGCTGCTAAAATGTCACTATATATGTAATCTATACGTGCGATTTTCAATTTATCTATTTTTAATATTTATAATAAATTGTTTGAGGTGATACCATTTTCATTAAGCAAAGTGAAGCATGATATTTTATTTATAAATAAATTCAACTGATATTTTATAAATATATTCTATAAATTTCGCTAGTTTTTAAATTATTAATTTGTTTGATTTTTACGGTTTTTACGATAAAAAATTGAAAAGGTTTGTATTACTTCCCAGATATTTATTAAGACTGGACCATAAATTTTCTGTGGGTTTAAAATATCTGGAGTGTTTAGGAAACATTTATTAATTTGGTGCCGTTGAAACTTTTTTGTTAACGTAGACAGTTGTTAACTTTTCAGAACGCGAAAGAGTATTTATTTGTATGAATATAAAAATCTTTAGCATGAAGCTTTTTGGTTGTGACTTCTACTTTGTTCAAGAGGTTAAATAATTCTCAGCATTTATCTTTTGACCAGAATCCACTTTGAATGTACTTATAATTTTATTACCTACAATACTGGTACTAAATATTTATTCAAAAGTTTCTCTTTCACTTTCTAACTTGTGTTGTCTGTTTTTTTCCATGAAGAGTCCAATCTCTGTTCACGCCATTTGGTCTATCAAATAGAGTTCTATATTCATTGCTACAAGATTACAGTCGAAGTATGAGAACTGACCGAATAGAATTACCTCTTAGTTGATATGATTTGAACTTTGCTTTTTAGGCAACAAAACGCCTGAGGAATTACGAAGGAAACTTGAATCCGCTCTTCGTATTGGAGATCGTGACATGGTAGAGAATATCATCAACCAGTGTGTTTTTGCTGGTTTTCCTGAGTTAGACTCATCTGTACAGCGCGCCAGAAACATTCTAAAATCTATGGAAACAACTTCTCAAAAAGGTTGGCCTGATTGTTGGATCTTTTATTTCTAATCTTGGTTGACTCTAACAAGTTTATTTTCATTTCTTAAACGAAATTCCTCCTGGCTTTAGTTTGAACTGATGTCTTCTTTTTTTCTATATATTGTGACCAGTTTGCTTATTGGTAATATTTTCGTGATCCTATATGATAACTTGGAAATTTCTAATATTTTTCATGGAAATTTTCAGTTTCCAAAATAATAGTTTAGACATTGAAAACAAAAGATGGCGTCGTGTTGAATCTATATCTGCCTCGTGTCAATTTAAACTGACTCCTTCTTTTTTGCATATATTGCGCCTATTTTACTTAAAGTTGGCATTTTCTTGATTTCAGGTGAAAAACTTGAAAATTCCCAACATATTTTAGTGAAATCATCACTTTAAAAATTATAGTTTAGCATTATAATTTCGTTATAAGGAAGTCGTCAATTTAAAATGTCGCTAAGAGCATATGAGTTAAATATTAAAATATTATCTCAACTCTCTACAAAATAAGAAGAACGACTTTCACTGTGGCATGATTTATTATTTACCTATATATTTACCAGTGAACCCGTTTGATCGGTTGAAAAATTCATGCACACATACACAAACATATATAACCTTAACAGTGAACTCTTTGATAATGACTTTCAGAAATCGAAAGCTCTTAAAAGATATTAGAAAATTCATGTTCAAATTCTCCACCTAAACTATCTCAGATTTTTCAATATCATTTTCTTTCGTCAAATCTACCTTCCTACAGTTCAAAGCTGGAAGAGGAATTCCTCTATTCAATGTTATATGGCATTTGTTTATTACAAATATGAATTAACTGTTAGTTTCCTTTCAAAATCTGAGACTGATCATGCTCATGAAGTACGAGAGACATTATGAAGTCATTAGTCAATTATCTCTTTTGCGTTTTTATAAGTGGCAGATAATAGTTTTCAATTTCGACATTTTTCCCTCTCAGGTTCCGTTTTACGGTATTTTATATAAACTTTTCTTTCTTTTTGCGCTGTCAGATGATAATTTGACTCAAGTTTTACGTGAGAAATTAAGAATTGCTATCAAAGACGGTGACAAGGACCAGTTAGAACGGGTCATAAATGAATGCGTAGTTGCCAATTTGTCGGAACTGGGACCTTACATCAATCGGGCTCGTGATGTTCTTGAAGACGTCGAAGATGAAAGACGATACGGAAGGCAGATCATTGTTTTTGAAGGTAGGACAAATAAACAGCGGACAAATTTAGAAATATTCGAATTATATATCTAAAGTTTTGCCAGTTTATCTTATTGCTTTTTAGCTGTATGTTTTTACTGGGTTTTATACAGGATGCGGCATAAATACCTCCGACATATACCTTCGATAAATACCTCCTACATGGTAGGATATTACCTAGATAAAGACATCATTGCCACTTGTCTAAGTTTATTAGCACTACACAGGTGACAGTTTAAAATGTGGGAGGGTATTTCTGCCACATCCTGTGTTTCTAACATATTGTAATTAATTACAGAGAGGTTATTTACCTCTCTGTAATTAATTATAATCGATAAAAAATAACGTAGTAAATAAGTCCTCTCAGATGGTTGTTTGATCGTCTTTTATCTGCCGTGCCCCTTCAGGACGTAGACGATAATGTGTCTCTACAATTACCTATCTTTTGCCAGTGTAAGTAACGTTTGTCTCTTTACTATCTGTAATTGTTTCTGATCTACCATCATTTACATAAGCTAATTAGGTAGGATATTCGCTTTTTCTTCTCTGGTCCACTTACCTTCAATATGTCCTGCAAGTTTGAATTTTCTAAGTCGTCTTTCTTCATTATGTGTTCCAGAAATGTCAAGTAACTTTTGCTGATTCTTAGAACAAGTATTTTTCCAATTTTCCTTACATTTCCCTCGTTGTTAACATCAATCTAATGAAAGTCTCGGCGACTTTCTATAGAATCACAGCTCAGCTGGCTCAGGTATTCCCTTCATCTGTGAGAAAGTTTGCCAATAATCTCTGCAATATTAAATATTTAAATCCAATGCCAATCGCTATCTACTGTCCTCCTGATTACTCCTTTCTCTTTCCACTCATTATTAATGTTTCTATTCCTAATTCCTCTACCGTGTAAACCCTTGTGTTGTGGTGGCTTTATTGCCTTGCATAGGGTGATACTAAGTTAAAAAAATATAGAAGGATCGATGTCAAATAGCAAATCAGAAATCTTTCTTTTGTTTCTAACGAAGTTTTCCTTAATACTTTGTTTAGGTTTTGGAAGGCACCTTTTGCTATTCCAAAATTTCGAATTTCTAACATTTTCTGCTGTCTGTCAAAACACTTCCCAGACATTTCGTCAGCTGTCTTCTTAGAACCAATGGTTTTGATAGTATTTGAAAATAATTTGATTAATTCGTATCTGTCTATATTTCTGAGATGAGGTATTATGTACACTATTTACATTATTCGGACTATTGTCCGCATCTCTGCTGCCATATTTAAATATGGTGACAAAAATGAAGACAATAGTCCGAATAATGTAAATAGCGTTGATTAATTTGGTTAATTAATAGTATTCGAATTAATGTAATTATTTTCATATAGTATCCATTTTCATCTTATTTCAATTAATTCTTATCGCAGCTCCCAGATCGTCATTCTACAACCTCTAAATAAACTGTATGTATTATAAATAAGCTTCCGGTGAAATTTGAACTCGGATATGTTTCATTATATTTGAATGAACCTTCAGCAAAGAATAAAAGGAATTAATATTCATCATATGATTTTGATATTGCTAAAGTGATAATATAGTCATTTAAGAATAATTTTCAATTTTTAATAATTGGGCTGGTTTTTATTCTGTCTATGCGAGTATATACTCAACCCAATATATCTGTATTGGTCCTCTCTTTCTTGATTCTCAGAAATTATGTCACCGACTCCATCTTCAATTCGCGATCAACTCCGGTCGGCGATTAAACTCAAAGACTTGGATTCATTGGAAGCTGCGATTGAAGAAGCCGAAGCAATCGGATATCCGGAACTAGGTTCAGATATTCGGAAAGCGAGGGAGACATTCGCAAGTCTTGGAGGAGAGGCAAGAGGTTAGAACTTAAAAAAACAAAAAAATTTTTTTTTTTATCTCTAAGAAACAGAGTTGCATGATTACTCCGGAATAGAAAAGGTAGGCTGGATAAATTGTAGTTTGGAAAACTCATTCAAAATTGTTTTCCTAAGATGGAGAAGAATTAATGAACAGACTGGAAAAAAGTAGTAGGTGGGATATCAGAAATATCAGTGGGGAGGTCGAAAAAAATCAAAATTTAAATAACCAGCTCATCCGTTCTATTCCGGACATATGAGCACGATTAACAACTCAATAATTTATTTATATTAATATTTTAATAGGCTACATTTTATTACACTGATGTAAAAGTTTCCATTATTTTAACGAGATTTTTATTCATATAAATTCATAGCGTCATTACTTAATAGTAGAAGTATTTTGACTTGTTCTCTATGTCACTTAAGACATATATTTCATTTAAGATGTGTTTGTTAACATATATATTTCCATCTCTTTCTGAGATCAATATTAGGGATGCAACTGGTAAGGCAAAAAACTATGATCTCAGAACGAGATTGGAAGTACTTGGGAATTGAAAGTGATTCTCACTGTTACAGTTCATTTCTTGCCTTATTTAATTGTAATATACAGAAAAATATTCGTGATTGTGAAAGGATTATGATAAAAATAAGCAGACAAAATGAAGAGGCTATATCTGGAGGATACACTATGTGAATGAACACTTCCTATTCTAACACTGTGATCATCGGGTAAGAATCGTGAGCCAGACAGTCAATGTTTTTCACAGAGAAAGTTTTACTCTTCAGCACGTTTTGTAAACAAGCAGTTTACTGACTGCAGCTTTGAGCATTTTCTCCAGCCATTCGTAATTAAAATAAAATTACGTTGAATCCCGCTAAACACACTCCACATCGGATTATTTTCTGTTTGGGCGGAGACGTTGAAAGTTGTTCTCGTAATAAATTCTTTTCTCACTGCAAATGACTTTCTTGTCTCCAAAAGTTTTCTTTGTCGACGGCGAAGAAAAAAGATGTGTTTAAATGTTGGCCATTGTTTATTTTTCTCAGATCGTGTAGATCCAATTTTCCTAGCTTCTAAATATTCATTTTGTCCTGTAAACAAGCTTCGAAAACAGATTAACTGTCCAAGCAATAAACGGATGAGCAAGTTTCAAATTGTGACATTTTCCAAACCATATGCAAAAATGATAGTGAGAACCACTTCGTTTTTCGTCAGCCTCATCAATTATTGTTGATTGTATGAAATCTAATACGCTTCTTGTTGATTTGTCAGATTCCCAGTCAATTGATAACTTCCGGACAAAACTTCAGCAAGCAATGAAATCTAAAAACAAAACTCTTTTGAATAAAGTAATTAGCGAATGTGTGTCTGTCGGAATTCCAGAACTTGATGAAGATATTTACCAAGCCAGAAGAGTTGTGAATATACTGCAGGGCGGTACAGGAGGTTAGCATACTGCATATATCTTATACATATTTTTCATTTCATAGGTGATCATGGCTCTCCACAGATTCCATTTCTTTATAATCTTTGAATAGCTAATGCCATGTCTTTTCAGGACGTTGGCAATCATGGCTCTCCACGTATTTCGTTTCTTTATAATCCGTGAATTGCCAATACCATGTCTTATTTGGACGTTGGCGATCATAGCTCTCCACATATTTAGTTTCTTTATAATCTGTGAAGTACCATGATTTCTTGTGAAAAATATATTCAGGCTGTTTCCCATGGTTATTCTTCAGGGTTATTAATTAAGCGTTGTCAGAGAGAGCTCAATCTGCCCGGTTAATTAAGCATGTCTAGGGAGAAAGGGATTTGCGCAAAAGTGAACGCAACATTGTAAAACGAATTTGAAACCGGTTGGCCGATTTCACTTTCGAGCCAAATTCCGTTACACCACCCGCACATTAGTCTATATTTTACATTTTTTATTATATACGAGGGTTCTCGACCAGTTCTCAAATGACCCTAATTCAGGTTCATTTTCCTCTTCTGTAGAGCTTCCTTGTCGAGTCAAAAACATTACATCACCTCTCGTATATTAGATGTTACATTTTTCTTTAATCGTATGTTAAATATTTTAAGTATTACATGTACCACTTATGTTGAATATTACATTTATCAATTAGCGATGACGTTTTAAATCCATAGTTTTAATGCAAAACCTTCATATATGACAATATTTGATTGACCATAGCCAGTAAATTATAATCGCATACTTATTTTTCTAAACTGTGTTTTCTTATTATAATAAGACGCCTTTACTCGTGTGGAATTATTTTTTCAAATTTTATTGATGAATGAGATATAGCAACCCGGCAATCTTTGGTAAATGGGTAGGAATTCTACTCGTTTTATTATATTTTTTTAAATATTTTTAAAATACGTGATGTTCATTTCCGACTTTTGAAATGTCCACTGATATTTGAATTGACTTGGTTGACAGATATCAAATCCCCACAAATTCTTCGCGATCAACTCGAAGTAGCAGTGCGATCAAAAAACAAGGACGGCTTAGCGAGTGTGATTCAAGAACTCGAAGAAGCCGCATATCCGGAATTGAGCTTGGAATTGAGCAAAGCTCGTGACTTCTTAGAGAATATCGGAGGCGGCCGAGGAGGTTAGTAAATGTTTCGATTCATGGTTCAAACCTACCCAACATTGTCTGTGGTCTTAGCTTCATTTATTTTATTTTTTTTGTTCTAAAAAAAGGAGTAAAATAATTCGAAAGATTCACGGCATATGTCGAGATTTACAAAATTTAATATATCTGGCATTGAGTTTGAATAATAAAGCACACAGTTAGGATATAACGCACTACACTAACAGTGGACTACAAAGATATTTTTTTCTAAACATCCCCTACACTATCTTAATCAGATGAAATGATCACATAATCACCTATTATCAAAATTACTACACTTGCCGGAATTCGCGAAGTTATCTATGTACTAGAGATTTATATGTGTATATAAAACGGTTTATCATCACTTCTGCGATTCCTGATAAGCGTACAGTTAGACTGGCATACAGCTCTCATCGTTTTACTGTTGAAAGAACGAGATAAAACCGACAGTTCTATTATAGTAGTTTCTTTTCTCGCACGTCTCGATTGGGGAAATAAGTTCAAGTTGTTTGCTTTACAGCGTTCTTCAAAGACTAAATATGATATATATATATATATATATATATATATATGGCTTTATATATATATATATATATATATATATATATATATATATATAAAACTTATATATATATATATATATATATATATATATATAAGGCTATATATATATATATATATATAAATATATATTTATATATATATATATATATATATATATATATATATATATATATATAAGGCTTTTGCTATATATATAAAGCTATGATATACATATATATAAATAAAATATATATATATATATATATATATATATATAAGGCTTTTATATATATATAAAGCTATCCTATACATACATACATATATATATATATATATATATATATATATATATATATATATATATATATATATATATATATATAAATATATATATATATATATAAAGTGACGTCATACATACATATATATTATTGTGTGTGTGCATATATATATATGTGTCTGTGTGTGAATGTATAAAGTATGTATATGTGTCTCTGCTGTTGTAATAAAAAATTTCAATCTAAAAAGCAGACATGATATTTCGTTAAATAGGAAGAAAAACGGCGGAAGATCTCAGGACGAAAATAGAAAAGGCCATGGCAGACGGAGACAGGGAAAAAGTGGAAAGTGTTGTCATCGAATGCATAGCGGCAGGTCTTCCAGAACTAGACAATTTTATACAATGGGCGAGAGAAACAATGGAAGAAATGAAGGCGGAGCCAGATAGAGTTTTGCAAGGTAAATTTCTAGGAAGTGGCCAGAATTAATACAACTACATGGACATGGAGAGAGATAGAGAGATAGAGAAAGAGAGAGAGAGAGAGAGACGAGGATTGAATTGTATTAAATAATGATTAAGAAATTAAAACTGAAATTCATAAAACGCACCAAATAAATAACATTCCGTATACAAAGAATTAAAGGAAAATAAAGATGTAACAAATGATTTAGGCATATATTTATGAATACATATGTGGGGATATAGTAAGCCTGTGAAATAAAAACGACAGAACATAGTCAAAGTCAAAATTATTCTATATAACAGAGACTACACAAGTTAGTACTGACAAGCAGATATTATTGTCTGAGTGCAATTCGCTAGAATTTATAATATATGCTACAAATCCATGTTATTTGACTGTTTATACGAAAAGCTATATATTACTTTTCCTAGAAACTGCATGGGTCCGTCCTGATAATTTACGCGACAAATTAAAGAAGGCAATCGTCTCGAAAGATGTGAGCACTCTGCAAAGTGTGATAGAAATGGCTGAACAAGCATCTCTTCCAGAAGTAAGCTCAGATCTACGTAAAGCCAGAGACACTCTTGAAAGTCTGGGAGGCGGACGTGGAGGTTAGATTTCAAACTAAATTATTTGACTATTCTAGTATATTTTAGAGTTAATTGTTTTCTTGCAAATCTCGTTCTTCGTTGTTGGCTTAATTATTGGTAATTATGGTTTGCCAGGAACGAAAGAGTGTTGACAGCCTGCGTGGGAAATTGGATGAAGCGATCAAATCGAAAGACAGAATCGTTTTGGACAAAGTGATCAGTGAATGTGTGTCAGCCGGAATGCCAGAGTTGATGGCTGATATCAAAAAAAAGCCAGAAGTGTAGCAGACATTCTTCGCGGTGGTACTGGAGGTTAGATTGTTTGTCTTAGAATAAATGTTGTCGATTTTCATTGCTTTATCAATATCGATTTTGATTTTGCCTCATTTTCCTCTATGTCCTATCCTATATGATTGCGAAAATATATATATCACTGGACAGATGTAAAATCTCCAGACACTCTTCGTGATCAGCTGACATTGGCTATCAGACAAAAGGATATCAAATCCCTGGAGAAAGCCATTTCGGAAACTGAAGCTGCCAGATATCCGGAATTGTCGGCCGAACTTCGTAAAGCTAGGGAAGTTTACGAAAATATGGGAGGTGATCGTGGAGGTCAGTTGGCGTTCATTGGCTGTAAATCTGTCGATTTTTTCGTTTCTTTTTTCTCGGCGTTCGCTTCTTATCGCTTTTCTATGTTTTCCATTAGGTAAATTGTCGGCTGAGACATTACGTGATCAGCTAACAACAGCGATTAAAGAAGGAGACAGAGAAAATTTGGAAGCGGTGTTGTTGGAATGTGTGTCTGCCGGCATGCCAGAACTCGACACTGCCATACAGCGAGCTAGAAGTAAACTACTCGATATGGAAGAAGCCCCAAAACGAGGTGCGAACCGTTAAAGTTTCCGTATTTTTAGGCTCTCGTTAACTCGAAAGAATAGAAATATTATTTATTGAATTTTCATGCGCAATAGAAACGCTTATTTTGATGGAGTTCAAAGAGAATTGTTTCCGAAAAATTAATGTCGTTTTTCTTTTCACCTGTTTTTTTTTTCTTGATCAGACACTATATTGGTTAGTCCTGATAATCTACGCGACAAATTAAAGAAAGCCATCGCATCGAAAGATGTACAAGGTTTGCAAAATATCATAGAAGAAGCTGAAAAGACCGCTCTTCCGGAAGTAAGCTCAGAGCTACGGAAAGCCAGAGACACTCTGGAAAATCTGGGAGGCGGACGCGGAGGTTAGATTTACGTTGGAATTCCTTGATTTATCATAATATTAACATATTTTTAAAGTCTGTTTACTGAATATAAGTTGTTGTTCTCCCAAGATTAATCATTGGTAATTTTGGTTTGTTAGGAACGATGAGCGTGGAGAAACTTCGCGGTAAATTAGACGAAGCGATAAAAGCAAAAGACAGAAGTGTGTTGGACAAAGTGATCAGCGAATGTGTGTCAGCCGGAATGCCAGAGCTGATGGCTGACATCCAGAAAGCTAGAAGTGTAGCAGACATTCTTCGCGGTGGCAGTGGAGGTTAGATTTTCTATAATGCGAGAATTTTATCCGAATTTTCTTTATTGTCAATGTTCTTTTGAATTTATTTAATTTCAATTGGTGAATATATCATAATGACGGTGTGAATCGTTGTTTGCTGGACAGATTTGAAATCGCCGGACAAACTCCGCGATCAACTGACATCGGCTATCAGACAAAAGGATATAAAGTCCCTGGAGAAAGCCATTTCGGAAACAGAGGCTGCCAGATATCCAGAATTGTCGGCTGAACTTCGCAAAGCCAGGGACGTTCTAGAAGCTTTGGGTGGTGGTCGTGGAGGTCAGTTGAATAAATTAGCTGTCATTTTAATTCTATTTGCATTTACATGTCTCCACTGAGGTTGTTTTTTTCTTTACTGGTTTCGATGGTTTTTCTGCCTTAGGGACGTTATCTGCTGAGACATTACGCGATCAAATAACGACAGCGATGAGAGAAGGAGACAGGGACAATTTAGAGGCTGTGCTGATGGAATGTGTGTCTGCTGGTATGCCAGAACTCGACTCTTCCATACGCCGAGCCAGAACTAAACTGAAAGACATGGAAGACGCCCTGAAATTAGGTGGGCGCTTTACAATAAATCTCACTAGAACACGATGTGTTTGTATTTAATGGCTGTCCATTGTATTGAGAGATTTCTTGCATGGTAGTCTTTTGTAGATGACGAAATAAGCAGATGTTTTTTTGTTTTTTTTTTGTTACTTTTCTGATTGCAATTCGTTAGATCTTATAATATAGGCTACAAATCCATGTTATTTGACTGTTTATACGAAAAGCTATATATTACTTTTCCTAGAAACTGCATGGGTCCGTCCTGATAATTTACGCGACAAATTAAAGAAGGCAATCGTCTCGAAAGATGTGAGCACTCTGCAAAGTGTGATAGAAATGGCTGAACAAGCATCTCTTCCAGAAGTAAGCTCAGATCTACGTAAAGCCAGAGACACTCTTGAAAGTCTGGGAGGCGGACGTGGAGGTTAGATTTCAAACTAAATTATTTGACTATTCTAGTATATTTTAGAGTTAATTGTTTTCTTGCAAATCTCGTTCTTCGTTGTTGGCTTAATTATTGGTAATTATGGTTTGCCAGGAACGAAGAGTGTTGACAGCCTGCGTGGGAAATTGGATGAAGCGATCAAATCGAAAGACAGAATCGTTTTGGACAAAGTGATCAGTGAATGTGTGTCAGCCGGAATGCCAGAGTTGATGGCTGATATCCAAAAAGCCAGAAGTGTAGCAGACATTCTTCGCGGTGGTACTGGAGGTTAGATTGTTTGTCTTAGAATAAATGTTGTCGATTTTCATTGCTTTATCAATATCGATTTTGATTTTGCCTCATTTTCCTCTATGTCCTATCCTATATGATTGCGAAAATATATATATCACTGGACAGATGTAAAATCTCCAGACACTCTTCGTGATCAGCTGACATTGGCTATCAGACAAAAGGATATCAAATCCCTGGAGAAAGCCATTTCGGAAACTGAAGCTGCCAGATATCCGGAATTGTCGGCCGAACTTCGTAAAGCTAGGGAAGTTTACGAAAATATGGGAGGTGATCGTGGAGGTCAGTTGGCGTTCATTGGCTGTAAATCTGTCGATTTTTTTCGTTTCTTTTTTCTCGGCGTTCGCTTCTTATCGCTTTTCTATGTTTTCCATTAGGTAAATTGTCGGCTGAGACATTACGTGATCAGCTAACAACAGCGATTAAAGAAGGAGACAGAGAAAATTTGGAAGCGGTGTTGTTGGAATGTGTGTCTGCCGGCATGCCAGAACTCGACACTGCCATACAGCGAGCTAGAAGTAAACTACTCGATATGGAAGAAGCCCCAAAACGAGGTGCGAACCGTTAAAGTTTCCGTATTTCTTAGGCTCTCGTTAACTCGAAAGAATAGAGAAATATTATTTATTGAATTTTCATGCGCAATAGAAACGCTTATTTTGATGGAGTTCAAAGAGAATTGTTTCCGAAAAATTAATGTCGTTTTCTTTTCACTTGTTTTTTTTTTCTTGATCAGACACTATATTGGTTAGTCCTGATAATCTACGCGACAAATTAAAAGCCATCGCATCGAAAGATGTACAAGGTTTGCAAAATATCATAGAAGAAGCTGAAAAGACCGCTCTTCCGGAAGTAAGCTCAGAGCTACGGAAAGCCAGAGACACTCTGGAAAATCTGGGAGGCGGACGCGGAGGTTAGATTTACGTTGGAATTCCTTGATTTATCATAATATTAACATATTTTTAAAGTCTGTTTACTGAATATAAGTTGTTGTTCTCCCAAGATTAATCATTGGTAATTTTGGTTTGTTAGGAACGATGAGCGTGGAGAAACTTCGCGGTAAATTAGACGAAGCGATAAAAGCAAAAAGACAGAAGTGTGTTGGACAAAGTGATCAGCGAATGTGTGTCAGCCGGAATGCCAGAGCTGATGGCTGACATCCAGAAAGCTAGAAGTGTAGCAGACATTCTTCGCGGTGGCAGTGGAGGTTAGATTTTCTATAATGCGAGAATTTTATCCGAATTTTCTTTATTGTCAATGTTCTTTTTGAATTTATTTAATTTCAATTGGTGAATATATCATAATGACGGTGTGAATCGTTGTTTGCTGGACAGATTTGAAATCGCCGGACAAACTCCGCGATCAACTGACATCGGCTATCAGACAAAAGGATATAAAGTCCCTGGAGAAAGCCATTTCGGAAACAGAGGCTGCCAGATATCCAGAATTGTCGGCTGAACTTCGCAAAGCCAGGGACGTTCTAGAAGCTTTGGGTGGTGGTCGTGGAGGTCAGTTGAATAAATTAGCTGTCATTTTAATTCTATTTGCATTTACATGTCTCCACTGAGGTTGTTTTTTCTTTACTGGTTTCGATGGTTTTTCTGCCTTAGGGACGTTATCTGCTGAGACATTACGCGATCAAATAACGACAGCGATGAGAGAAGGAGACAGGGACAATTTAGAGGCTGTGCTGATGGAATGTGTGTCTGCTGGTATGCCAGAACTCGACTCTTCCATACGCCGAGCCAGAACTAAACTGAAAGACATGGAAGACGCCCCGAAATTAGGTGGGCGCTTTACAATAAATCTCACTAGAACACGATGTGTTTGTATTTAATGGCTGTCCATTGTATTGAGAGATTTCTTGCATGGTAGTCTTTTGTAGATGACGAAATAAGCAGATGTTTTTTTGTTTTTTTTTTGTTACTTTTCTGATTGCAATTCGTTAGATCTTATAATATAGGCTACAAATCCATGTTATTTGACTGTTTATACGAAAAGCTATATATTACTTTTCCTAGAAACTGCATGGGTCCGTCCTGATAATTTACGCGACAAATTAAAGAAGGCAATCGTCTCGAAAGATGTGAGCACTCTGCAAAGTGTGATAGAAATGGCTGAACAAGCATCTCTTCCAGAAGTAAGCTCAGATCTACGTAAAGCCAGAGACACTCTTGAAAGTCTGGGAGGCGGACGTGGAGGTTAGATTTCAAACTAAATTATTTGACTATTCTAGTATATTTTAGAGTTAATTGTTTTCTTGCAAATCTCGTTCTTCGTTGTTGGCTTAATTATTGGTAATTATGGTTTGCCAGGAACGAAGAGTGTTGACAGCCTGCGTGGGAAATTGGATGAAGCGATCAAATCGAAAGACAGAATCGTTTTGGACAAAGTGATCAGTGAATGTGTGTCAGCCGGAATGCCAGAGTTGATGGCTGATATCCAAAAAGCCAGAAGTGTAGCAGACATTCTTCGCGGTGGTACTGGAGGTTAGATTGTTTGTCTTAGAATAAATGTTGTCGATTTTCATTGCTTTATCAATATCGATTTTGATTTTGCCTCATTTTCCTCTATGTCCCATCCTATATGATTGCGAAAATATATATATCACTGGACAGATGTAAAATCTCCAGACACTCTTCGTGATCAGCTGACATTGGCTATCAGACAAAAGGATATCAAATCCTGGAGAAAGCCATTTCGGAAACTGAAGCTGCCAGATATCCGGAATTGTCGGCCGAACTTCGTAAAGCTAGGGAAGTTTACGAAAATATGGGGAGGTGATCGTGGAGGTCAGTTGGCGTTCATTGGCTGTAAATCTGTCGATTTTTTCGTTTCTTTTTCTCGGCGTTCGCTTCTTATCGCTTTTCTATGTTTTCCATTAGGTAAATTGTCGGCTGAGACATTACGTGATCAGCTAACAACAGCGATTAAAGAAGGAGACAGAGAAAATTTGGAAGCGGTGTTGTTGGAATGTGTGTCTGCCGGCATGCCAGAACTCGACACTGCCATACAGCGAGCTAGAAGTAAACTACTCGATATGGAAGAAGCCCCAAAACGAGGTGCGAACCGTTAAAGTTTCCGTATTTCTTAGGCTCTCGTTAACTCGAAAGAATAGAGAAATATTATTTATTGAATTTTCATGCGCAATAGAAACGCTTATTTTGATGGAGTTCAAAGAGAATTGTTTCCGAAAAATTAATGTCGTTTTCTTTTCACTTGTTTTTTTTTTTTCTTGATCAGACACTATATTGGTTAGTCCTGATAATCTACGCGACAAATTAAAGAAAGCCATCGCATCGAAAGATGTACAAGGTTTGCAAAATATCATAGAAGAAGCTGAAAAGACCGCTCTTCCGGAAGTAAGCTCAGAGCTACGGAAAGCCAGAGACACTCTGGAAAATCTGGGAGGCGGACGCGGAGGTTAGATTTACGTTGGAATTCCTTGATTTATCATAATATTAACATATTTTTAAAGTCTGTTTACTGAATATAAGTTGTTGTTCTCCCAAGATTAATCATTGGTAATTTTGGTTTGTTAGGAACGATGAGCGTGGAGAAACTTCGCGGTAAATTAGACGAAGCGATAAAAGCAAAAGACAGAAGTGTGTTGGACAAAAGTGATCAGCGAATGTGTGTCAGCCGGAATGCCAGAGCTGATGGCTGACATCAGAAAGCTAGAAGTGTAGCAGACATTCTTCGCGGTGGCAGTGGAGGTTAGATTTTCTATAATGCGAGAATTTTATCCGAATTTTCTTTATTGTCAATGTTCTTTTTGAATTTATTTAATTTCAATTGGTGAATATATCATAATGACGGTGTGAATCGTTGTTTGCTGGACAGATTTGAAATCGCCGGACAAACTCCGCGATCAACTGACATCGGCTATCAGACAAAAGGATATAAAGTCCCTGGAGAAAGCCATTTCGGAAACAGAGGCTGCCAGATATCCAGAATTGTCGGCTGAACTTCAAAAGCCAGGGACGTTCTAGAAGCTTTGGGTGGTGGTCGTGGAGGTCAGTTGAATAAATTAGCTGTCATTTTAATTCTATTTGCATTTACATGTCTCCACTGAGGTTGTTTTTTTCTTTACTGGTTTCGATGGTTTTTCTGCCTTAGGGACGTTATCTGCTGAGACATTACGCGATCAAATAACGACAGCGATGAGAGAAGGAGACAGGGACAATTTAGAGGCTGTGCTGATGGAATGTGTGTCTGCTGGTATGCCAGAACTCGACTCTTCCATACGCCGAGCCAGAACTAAACTGAAAGACATGGAAGACGCCCCGAAATTAGGTGGGCGCTTTACAATAAATCTCACTAGAACACGATGTGTTTGTATTTAATGGCTGTCCATTGTATTGAGAGATTTCTTGCATGGTAGTCTTTTGTAGATGACGAAATAAGCAGATGTTTTTTTGTTTTTTTTTTGTTACTTTTCTGATTGCAATTCGTTAGATCTTATAATATAGGCTACAAATCCATGTTATTTGACTGTTTATACGAAAAGCTATATATTACTTTTCCTAGAAACTGCATGGGTCCGTCCTGATAATTTACGCGACAAATTAAAGAAGGCAATCGTCTCGAAAATGTGAGCACTCTGCAAAGTGTGATAGAAATGGCTGAACAAGCATCTCTTCCAGAAGTAAGCTCAGATCTACGTAAAGCCAGAGACACTCTTGAAAGTCTGGGAGGCGGACGTGGAGGTTAGATTTCAAACTAAATTATTTGACTATTCTAGTATATTTTAGAGTTAATTGTTTTCTTGCAAATCTCGTTCTTCGTTGTTGGCTTAATTATTGGTAATTATGGTTTGCCAGGAACGAAGAGTGTTGACAGCCTGCGTGGGAAATTGGATGAAGCGATCAAATCGAAAGACAGAATCGTTTTGGACAAAGTGATCAGTGAATGTGTGTCAGCCGGAATGCCAGAGTTGATGGCTGATATCCAAAAAGCCAGAAGTGTAGCAGACATTCTTCGCGGTGGTACTGGAGGTTAGATTGTTTGTCTTAGAATAAATGTTGTCGATTTTCATTGCTTTATCAATATCGATTTTGATTTTGCCTCATTTTCCTCTATGTCCTATCCTATATGATTGCGAAAATATATATATCACTGGACAGATGTAAAATCTCCAGACACTCTTCGTGATCAGCTGACATTGGCTATCAGACAAAAGGATATCAAATCCCTGGAGAAAGCCATTTCGGAAACTGAAGCTGCCAGATATCCGGAATTGTCGGCCGAACTTCGTAAAGCTAGGGAAGTTTACGAAAATATGGGAGGTGATCGTGGAGGTCAGTTGGCGTTCATTGGCTGTAAATCTGTCGATTTTTTCGTTTCTTTTTCTCGGCGTTCGCTTCTTATCGCTTTTCTATGTTTTCCATTAGGTAAATTGTCGGCTGAGACATTACGTGATCAGCTAACAACAGCGATTAAAGAAGGAGACAGAGAAAATTTGGAAGCGGTGTTGTTGGAATGTGTGTCTGCCGGCATGCCAGAACTCGACACTGCCATACAGCGAGCTAGAAGTAAACTACTCGATATGGAAGAAGCCCCGAAACGAGGTGCGAACCGTTAAAGTTTCCGTATTTCTTAGGCTCTCGTTAACTCGAAAGAATAGAGAAATATTATTTATTGAATTTTCATGCGCAATAGAAACGCTTATTTTGATGGAGTTCAAAGAGAATTGTTTCCGAAAAATTAATGTCGTTTTCTTTTCACTTTTTTTTTTTTTTCTTGATCAGACACTATATTGGTTAGTCCTGATAATCTACGCGACAAATTAAAGAAAGCCATCGCATCGAAAGATGTACAAGGTTTGCAAAATATCATAGAAGAAGCTGAAAAGACCGCTCTTCCGGAAGTAAGCTCAGAGCTACGGAAAGCCAGAGACACTCTGGAAAATCTGGGAGGCGGACGCGGAGGTTAGATTTACGTTGGAATTCCTTGATTTATCATAATATTAACATATTTTTAAAGTCTGTTTACTGAATATAAGTTGTTGTTCTCCCAAGATTAATCATTGGTAATTTTGGTTTGTTAGGAACGATGAGCGTGGAGAAACTTCGCGGTAAATTAGACGAAGCGATAAAAGCAAAAGACAGAAGTGTGTTGGACAAAGTGATCAGCGAATGTGTGTCAGCCGGAATGCCAGAGCTGATGGCTGACATCCAGAAAGCTAGAAGTGTAGCAGACATTCTTCGCGGTGGCAGTGGAGGTTAGATTTTCTATAATGCGAGAATTTTATCCGAATTTTCTTTATTGTCAATGTTCTTTTTGAATTTATTTAATTTCAATTGGTGAATATATCATAATGACGGTGTGAATCGTTGTTTGCTGGACAGATTTGAAATCGCCGGACAAACTCCGCGATCAACTGACATCGGCTATCAGACAAAAAGGATATAAAGTCCCTGGAGAAAGCCATTTCGGAAACAGAGGCTGCCAGATATCCAGAATTGTCGGCTGAACTTCGCAAAGCCAGGGACGTTCTAGAAGCTTTGGGTGGTGGTCGTGGAGGTCAGTTGAATAAATTAGCTGTCATTTTAATTCTATTTGCATTTACATGTCTCCACTGAGGTTGTTTTTTTCTTTACTGGTTTCGATGGTTTTCTGCCTTAGGGACGTTATCTGCTGAGACATTACGCGATCAAATAACGACAGCGATGAGAGAAGGAGACAGGGACAATTTAGAGGCTGTGCTGATGGAATGTGTGTCTGCTGGTATGCCAGAACTCGACTCTTCCATACGCCGAGCCAGAACTAAACTGAAAGACATGGAAGACGCCTTGAAATTAGGGTGGGCGCTTTACAATAAATCTCACTAGAACACGATGTGTTTGTATTTAATGGCTGTCCATTGTATTGAGAGATTTCTTGCATGGTAGTCTTTTGTAGATGACGAAATAAGCAGATGTTTTTTTTTTTTTTGTTACTTTTCTGATTGCAATTCGTTAGATCTTATAATATAGGCTACAAATCCATGTTATTTGACTGTTTATACGAAAAGCTATATATTACTTTTCCTAGAAACTGCATGGGTCCGTCCTGATAATTTACGCGACAAATTAAAGAAGGCAATCGTCTCGAAAGATGTGAGCACTCTGCAAAGTGTGATAGAAATGGCTGAACAAGCATCTCTTCCAGAAGTAAGCTCAGATCTACGTAAAGCCAGAGACACTCTTGAAAGTCTGGGAGGCGGACGTGGAGGTTAGATTTCAAACTAAATTATTTGACTATTCTAGTATATTTTAGAGTTAATTGTTTTCTTGCAAATCTCGTTCTTCGTTGTTGGCTTAATTATTGGTAATTATGGTTTGCCAGGAACGAAGAGTGTTGACAGCCTGCGTGGGAAATTGGATGAAGCGATCAAATCGAAAGACAGAATCGTTTTGGACAAAGTGATCAGTGAATGTGTGTCAGCCGGAATGCCAGAGTTGATGGCTGATATCCAAAAAGCCAGAAGTGTAGCAGACATTCTTCGCGGTGGTACTGGAGGTTAGATTGTTTGTCTTAGAATAAATGTTGTCGATTTTCATTGCTTTATCAATATCGATTTTGATTTTGCCTCATTTTCCTCTATGTCCTATCCTATATGATTGCGAAAATATATATATCACTGGACAGATGTAAAATCTCCAGACACTCTTCGTGATCAGCTGACATTGGCTATCAGACAAAAGGATATCAAATCCCTGGAGAAAGCCATTTCGGAAACTGAAGCTGCCAGATATCCGGAATTGTCGGCCGAACTTCGTAAAGCTAGGGAAGTTTACGAAAATATGGGAGGTGATCGTGGAGGTCAGTTGGCGTTCATTGGCTGTAAATCTGTCGATTTTTCGTTTCTTTTTCTCGGCGTTCGCTTCTTATCGCTTTTCTATGTTTTCCATTAGGTAAATTGTCGGCTGAGACATTACGTGATCAGCTAACAACAGCGATTAAAGAAGGAGACAGAGAAAATTTGGAAGCTTGGTGTTGTTGGAATGTGTGTCTGCCGGCATGCCAGAACTCGACACTGCCATACAGCGAGCTAGAAGTAAACTACTCGATATGGAAGAAGCCCCGAAACGAGGTGCGAACCGTTAAAGTTTCCGTATTTCTTAGGCTCTCGTTAACTCGAAAGAATAGAGAAATATTATTTATTGAATTTTCATGCGCAATAGAAACGCTTATTTTGATGGAGTTCAAAGAGAATTGTTTCCGAAAAATTAATGTCGTTTTCTTTTCACCTGTTTTTTTTTTTTCTTGATCAGACACTATATTGGTTAGTCCTGATAATCTACGCGACAAATTAAAAAAGCCATCGCATCGAAAAGATGTACAAGGTTTGCAAAATATCATAGAAGAAGCTGAAAAGACCGCTCTTCCGGAAGTAAGCTCAGAGCTACGGAAAGCCAGAGACACTCTGGAAAATCTGGGAGGCGGACGCGGAGGTTAGATTTACGTTGGAATTCCTTGATTTATCATAATATTAACATATTTTTAAAGTCTGTTTACTGAATATAAGTTGTTGTTCTCCCAAGATTAATCATTGGTAATTTTGGTTTGTTAGGAACGATGAGCGTGAGAAACTTCGCGGTAAATTAGACGAAGCGATAAAAGCAAAAGACAGAAGTGTGTTGGACAAAGTGATCAGCGAATGTGTGTCAGCCGGAATGCCAGAGCTGATGGCTGACATCCAGAAAGCTAGAAGTGTAGCAGACATTCTTCGCGGTGGCAGTGGAGGTTAGATTTTCTATAATGCGAGAATTTTATCCGAATTTTCTTTATTGTCAATGTTCTTTTTGAATTTATTTAATTTCAATTGGTGAATATATCATAATGACGGTGTGAATCGTTGTTTGCTGGACAGATTTGAAATCGCCGGACAAACTCCGCGATCAACTGACATCGGCTATCAGACAAAAGGATATAAAGTCCCTGGAGAAAGCCATTTCGGAAACAGAGGCTGCCAGATATCCAGAATTGTCGGCTGAACTTCGCAAAGCCAGGGACGTTCTAGAAGCTTTGGGTGGTGGTCGTGGAGGTCAGTTGAATAAATTAGCTGTCATTTTAATTCTATTTGCATTTACATGTCTCCACTGAGGTTGTTTTTTCTTTACTGGTTTCGATGGTTTTTCTGCCTTAGGGACGTTATCTGCTGAGACATTACGCGATCAAATAACGACAGCGATGAGAGAAGGAGACAGGGACAATTTAGAGGCTGTGCTGATGGAATGTGTGTCTGCTGGTATGCAGAACTCGACTCTTCCATACACGCCGAGCCAGAACTAAACTGAAAGACATGGAAGACGCCCTGAAATTGGGTGGGCGCTTTACAATAAATCTCACTAGAACACGATGTGTTTGTATTTAATGGCTGTCCATTGTATTGAGAGATTTCTTGCATGGTAGTCTTTGTAGATGACGAAATAAGCAGATGTTTTTTTTTTTTTTTTTGTTACTTTTCTGATTGCAATTCGTTAGATCTTATAATATAGGCTACAAATCCATGTTATTTGACTGTTTATACGAAAAGCTATATATTACTTTTCCTAGAAACTGCATGGGTCCGTCCTGATAATTTACGCGACAAATTAAAGAAGGCAATCGTCTCGAAAGATGTGAGCACTCTGCAAAGTGTGATAGAAATGGCTGAACAAGCATCTCTTCCAGAAGTAAGCTCAGATCTACGTAAAGCCAGAGACACTCTTGAAAGTCTGGGAGGCGGACGTGGAGGTTAGATTTCAAACTAAATTATTTGACTATTCTAGTATATTTTAGAGTTAATTGTTTTCTTGCAAATCTCGTTCTTCGTTGTTGGCTTAATTATTGGTAATTATGGTTTGCCAGGAACGAAGAGTGTTGACAACCTGCGTGGGAAATTGGATGAAGCGATCAAATCGAAAGACAGAATCGTTTTGGACAAAGTGATCAGTGAATGTGTCAGCCGGAATGCCAGAGTTGATGGCTGATATCCAAAAAGCCAGAAGTGTAGCAGACATTCTTCGCGGTGGTACTGGAGGTTAGATTGTTTGTCTTAGAATAAATGTTGTCGATTTTCATTGCTTTATCAATATCGATTTTGATTTTGCCTCATTTTCCTCTATGTCCTATCCTATATGATTGCGAAAATATATATATCACTGGACAGATGTAAAATCTCCAGACACTCTTCGTGATCAGCTGACATTGGCTATCAGACAAAAGGATATCAAATCCCTGGAGAAAGCCATTTCGGAAACTGAAGCTGCCAGATATCCGGAATTGTCGGCCGAACTTCGTAAAGCTAGGGAAGTTTACGAAAATATGGGAGGTGATCGTGGAGGTCAGTTGGCGTTCATTGGCTGTAAATCTGTCGATTTTTTCGTTTCTTTTCTCGGCGTTCGCTTCTTATCGCTTTTCTATGTTTTCCATTAGGTAAATTGTCGGCTGAGACATTACGTGATCAGCTAACAACAGCGATTAAAGAAGGAGACAGAGAAAATTTGGAAGCGGTGTTGTTGGAATGTGTGTCTGCCGGCATGCCAGAACTCGACACTGCCATACAGCGAGCTAGAAGTAAACTACTCGATATGGAAGAAGCCCCGAAACGAGGTGCGAACCGTTAAAGTTTCCGTATTTCTTAGGCTCTCGTTAACTCGAAAGAATAGAGAAATATTATTTATTGAATTTTCATGCGCAATAGAAACGCTTATTTTGATGGAGTTCAAAGAGAATTGTTTCCGAAAAATTAATGTCGTTTTCTTTTCACCTGTTTTTTTTTTTTTTCTTGATCAGACACTATATTGGTTAGTCCTGATAATCTACGCGACAAATTAAAGAAAGCCATCGCATCGAAAGATGTACAAGGTTTGCAAAATATCATAGAAGAAGCTGAAAAGACCGCTCTTCCGGAAGTAAGCTCAGAGCTACGGAAAGCCAGAGACACTCTGGAAAATCTGGGAGGCGGACGCGGAGGTTAGATTTACGTTGGAATTCCTTGATTTATCATAATATTAACATATTTTTAAAGTCTGTTTACTGAATATAAGTTGTTGTTCTCCCAAGATTAATCATTGGTAATTTTGGTTTGTTAGGAACGATGAGCGTGGAGAAACTTCGCGGTAAATTAGACGAAGCGATAAAAGCAAAAGACAGAAGTGTGTTGGACAAAGTGATCAGCGAATGTGTGTCAGCCGGAATGCCAGAGCTGATGGCTGACATCCAGAAAGCTAGAAGTGTAGCAGACATTCTTCGCGGTGGCAGTGGAGGTTAGATTTTCTATAATGCGAGAATTTTATCCGAATTTTCTTTATTGTCAATGTTCTTTTGAATTTATTTAATTTCAATTGGTGAATATATCATAATGACGGTGTGAATCGTTGTTTGCTGGACAGATTTGAAATCGCCGGACAAACTCCGCGATCAACTGACATCGGCTATCAGACAAAAGGATATAAAGTCCCTGGAGAAAGCCATTTCGGAAACAGAGGCTGCCAGATATCCAGAATTGTCGGCTGAACTTCGCAAAGCCAGGGACGTTCTAGAAGCTTTGGGTGGTGGTCGTGGAGGTCAGTTGAATAAATTAGCTGTCATTTTAATTCTATTTGCATTTACATGTCTCCACTGAGGTTGTTTTTTTCTTTACTGGTTTCGATGGTTTTTCTGCCTTAGGGACGTTATCTGCTGAGACATTACGCGATCAAATAACGACAGCGATGAGAGAAGGAGACAGGGACAATTTAGAGGCTGTGCTGATGGAATGTGTGTCTGCTGGTATGCCAGAACTCGACTCTTCCATACGCCGAGCCAGAACTAAACTGAAAGACATGGAAGACGCCCCGAAATTAGGTGGGCGCTTTACAATAAATCTCACTAGAACACGATGTGTTTTGTATTTAATGGCTGTCCATTGTATTGAGAGATTTCTTGCATGGTAGTCTTTTGTAGATGACGAAATAAGCAGATGTTTTTTTGTTTTTTTTTTGTTACTTTTCTGATTGCAATTCGTTAGATCTTATAATATAGGCTACAAATCCATGTTATTTGACTGTTTATACGAAAAGCTATATATTACTTTTCCTAGAAACTGCATGGGTCCGTCCTGATAATTTACGCGACAAATTAAAGAAGGCAATCGTCTCGAAAGATGTGAGCACTCTGCAAAGTGTGATAGAAATGGCTGAACAAGCATCTCTTCCAGAAGTAAGCTCAGATCTACGTAAAGCCAGAGACACTCTTGAAAGTCTGGGAGGCGGACGTGGAGGTTAGATTTCAAACTAAATTATTTGACTATTCTAGTATATTTTAGAGTTAATTGTTTTCTTGCAAATCTCGTTCTTCGTTGTTGGCTTAATTATTGGTAATTATGGTTTGCCAGGAACGAAGAGTGTTGACAGCCTGCGTGGGAAATTGGATGAAGCGATCAAATCGAAAGACAGAATCGTTTTGGACAAAGTGATCAGTGAATGTGTGTCAGCCGGAATGCCAGAGTTGATGGCTGATATCCAAAAAGCCAGAAGTGTAGCAGACATTCTTCGCGGTGGTACTGGAGGTTAGATTGTTTGTCTTAGAATAAATGTTGTCGATTTTCATTGCTTTATCAATATCGATTTTGATTTTGCCTCATTTTCCTCTATGTCCTATCCTATATGATTGCGAAAATATATATATCACTGGACAGATGTGAAATCTCCAGACACTCTTCGTGATCAGCTGACATTGGCTATCAGACAAAAGGATATCAAATCCCTGGAGAAAGCCATTTCGGAAACTGAAGCTGCCAGATATCCGGAATTGTCGGCCGAACTTCGTAAAGCTAGGGACGTTTACGAAAATATGGGAGGTGATCGTGGAGGTCAGTTGGCGTTCATTGGCTGTAAATCTGTCGATTTTTCGTTTCTTTTTCTCGGCGTTCGCTTCTTATCGCTTTTCTATGTTTTCCATTAGGTAAATTGTCGGCTGAGACATTACGTGATCAGCTAACAACAGCGATTAAAGAAGGAGACAGAGAAAATTTGGAAGCGGTGTTGTTGGAATGTGTGTCTGCCGGCATGCCAGAACTCGACACTGCCATACAGCGAGCTAGAAGTAAACTACTCGATATGGAAGAAGCCCCGAAACGAGGTGCGAACCGTTAAAGTTTCCGTATTTCTTAGGCTCTCGTTAACTCGAAAGAATAGAGAAATATTATTTATTGAATTTTCATGCGCAATAGAAACGCTTATTTTGATGGAGTTCAAAGAGAATTGTTTCCGAAAAATTAATGTCGTTTTCTTTTCACCTGTTTTTTTTTTTTTTTCTTGATCAGACACTATATTGGTTAGTCCTGATAATCTACGCGACAAATTAAAGAAAGCCATCGCATCGAAAGATGTACAAGGTTTGCAAAATATCATAGAAGAAGCTGAAAAGACCGCTCTTCCGGAAGTAAGCTCAGAGCTACGGAAAGCCAGAGACACTCTGGAAAATCTGGGAGGCGGACGCGGAGGTTAGATTTACGTTGGAATTCCTTGATTTATCATAATATTAACATATTTTTAAAGTCTGTTTACTGAATATAAGTTGTTGTTCTCCCAAGATTAATCATTGGTAATTTTGGTTTGTTAGGAACGATGAGCGTGGAGAAACTTCGCGGTAAATTAGACGAAGCGATAAAAGCAAAAGACAGAAGTGTGTTGGACAAAGTGATCAGCGAATGTGTGTCAGCCGGAATGCCAGAGCTGATGGCTGACATCCAGAAAGCTAGAAGTGTAGCAGACATTCTTCGCGGTGGCAGTGGAGGTTAGATTTTCTATAATGCGAGAATTTTATCCGAATTTTCTTTATTGTCAATGTTCTTTTTTGAATTTATTTAATTTCAATTGGTGAATATATCATAATGACGGTGTGAATCGTTGTTTGCTGGACAGATTTGAAATCGCCGGACAACTAGACTCCGCGATCAACTGACATCGGCTATCAGACAAAAGGATATAAAGTCCCTGGAGAAAGCCATTTCGGAAACAGAGGCTGCCAGATATCCAGAATTGTCGGCTGAACTTCGCAAAGCCAGGGACGTTCTAGAAGCTTTGGGTGGTGGTCGTGGAGGTCAGTTGAATAAATTAGCTGTCATTTTAATTCTATTTGCATTTACATGTCTCCACTGAGGTTGTTTTTTCTTTACTGGTTTCGATGGTTTTTCTGCCTTAGGGACGTTATCTGCTGAGACATTACGCGATCAAATAACGACAGCGATGAGAGAAGGAGACAGGGACAATTTAGAGGCTGTGCTGATGGAATGTGTGTCTGCTGGTATGCCAGAACTCGACTCTTCCATACGCCGAGCCAGAACTAAACTGAAAGACATGGAAGACGCCCCGAAATTAGGTGGGCGCTTTACAATAAATCTCACTAGAACACGATGTGTTTGTATTTAATGGCTGTCCATTGTATTGAGAGATTTCTTGCATGGTAGTCTTTTGTAGATGACGAAATAAGCAGATGTTTTTTTGTTTTTTTTTGTTACTTTTCTGATTGCAATTCGTTAGATCTTATAATATAGGCTTCAAATCCATGTTATTTGACTGTTTATACGAAAAGCTATATATTACTTTTCCTAGAAACTGCATGGGTCCGTCCTGATAATTTACGCGACAAATTAAAGAAGGCAATCGTCTCGAAAGATGTGAGCACTCTGCAAAGTGTGATAGAAATGGCTGAACAAGCATCTCTTCCAGAAGTAAGCTCAGATCTACGTAAAGCCAGAGACACTCTTGAAAGTCTGGGAGGCGGACGTGGAGGTTAGATTTCAAACTAAATTATTTGACTATTCTAGTATATTTTAGAGTTAATTGTTTTCTTGCAAATCTCGTTCTTCGTTGTTGGCTTAATTATTGGTAATTATGGTTTGCCAGGAACGAAGAGTGTTGACAGCCTGCGTGGGAAATTGGATGAAGCGATCAAATCGAAAGACAGAATCGTTTTGGACAAAGTGATCAGTGAATGTGTGTCAGCCGGAATGCCAGAGTTGATGGCTGATATCCAAAAAGCCAGAAGTGTAGCAGACATTCTTCGCGGTGGTACTGGAGGTTAGATTGTTTGTCTTAGAATAAATGTTGTCGATTTTCATTGCTTTATCAATATCGATTTTGATTTTGCCTCATTTTCCTCTATGTCCTATCCTATATGATTGCGAAAATATATATATCACTGGACAGATGTGAAATCTCCAGACACTCTTCGTGATCAGCTGACATTGGCTATCAGACAAAAGGATATCAAATCCCTGGAGAAAGCCATTTCGGAAACTGAAGCTGCCAGATATCCGGAATTGTCGGCCGAACTTCGTAAAGCTAGGGACGTTTACGAAAATATGGGAGGTGATCGTGGAGGTCAGTTGGCGTTCATTGGCTGTAAATCTGTCGATTTTTCGTTTCTTTTTCTCGGCGTTCGCTTCTTATCGCTTTTCTATGTTTTCCATTAGGTAAATTGTCGGCTGAGACATTACGTGATCAGCTAACAACAGCGATTAAAGAAGGAGACAGAGAAAATTTGGAAGCGGTGTTGTTGGAATGTGTGTCTGCCGGCATGCCAGAACTCGACACTGCCATACAGCGAGCTAGAAGTAAACTACTCGATATGGAAGAAGCCCCGAAACGAGGTGCGAACCGTTAAAGTTTCCGTATTTCTTAGGCTCTCGTTAACTCGGAAGAATAGAGAAATATTATTTATTGAATTTTCATGCGCAATAGAAACGCTTATTTTGATGGAGTTCAAAGCGAATTTTTTCCGAATAATTAATATCGTTTTCTTTTCACCTGTTTTTTTTCTTGATCAGACACTATATTGGTTAGTCCTGATAATCTACGCGACAAATTAAAGAAAGCCATCGCATCGAAAGTTATACAAGGATTGCAAAATATCATAGAAGAAGCTGAAAAGACCGCTCTTCCGGAAGTAAGCTCAGAGCTACGGAAAGCCAGAGACACTCTGGAAAATCTGGGAGGCGGACGCGGAGGTTAGATTTACGTTGGAATTTTTTGATTTATCATAATATTAACAAATTTTTAAAGTCTGTTTACTGAATATAAGTTGTTGTTCTCCCAAGATTAATCATTGGTAATTTTGGTTTGTTAGGAACGATGAGCGTGGAGAAACTTCGCGGTAAATTAGACGAAGCGATAAAAGCAAAAGACAGAAGTGTGTTGGACAAAGTGATCAGCGAATGTGTGTCAGCCGGAATGCCAGAGCTGATGGCTGACATCCAGAAAGCTAGAAGTGTAGCAGACATTCTTCGCGGTGGCAGTGGAGGTTAGATTTTCTATAATGCGAGAATTTTATCCGAATTTTCTTTATTGTCAATGTTCTTTTGAATTTATTTAATTTCAATTGGTGAATATATCATAATGACGGTGTGAATCGTTGTTTGCTGGACAGATTTGAAATCGCCGGACAAACTCCGCGATCAACTGACATCGGCTATCAGACAAAAGGATATAAAGTCCCTGGAGAAAGCCATTTCGGAAACAGAGGCTGCCAGATATCCAGAATTGTCGGCTGAACTTCGCAAAGCCAGGGACGTTCTAGAAGCTTTGGGTGGTGGTCGTGGAGGTCAGTTGAATAAATTAGCTGTCATTTTAATTCTATTTACATTTACATGTCTCCACTGAGGTTGTTTTTTTCTTTACTGGTTTCGATGGTTTTTCTGCCTTAGGGACGTTATCTGCTGAGACATTACGCGATCAAATAACGACAGCGATGAGAGAAGGAGACAGGGACAATTTAGAGGCTGTGCTGATGGAATGTGTGTCTGCTGGTATGCCAGAACTCGACTCTTCCATACGCCGAGCCAGAACTAAACTGAAAGACATGGAAGACGCCCCGAAATTAGGTGGGCGCTTTACAATAAATCTCACTAGAACACGATGTGTTTGTATTTAATGGCTGTCCATTGTATTGAGAGATTTCTTGCATGGTAGTCTTTTGTAGATGACGAAATAAGCAGTTGTTTTTTTGTTTTTTTTTTTGTTACTTTTCTGATTGCAATTCGCTAGAACTTATAATATAGGCTACAAATCCATGTTATTTGACTGTTTATACGAAAAGCTATATATTACTTTTCCTAGAAACTGCATGGGTCCGTCCTGATAATTTACGCGACAAATTAAAGAAGGCAATCGTCTCGAAAGATGTGAGCACTCTGCAAAGTGTGATAGAAATGGCTGAACAAGCATCTCTTCCAGAAGTAAGCTCAGATCTACGTAAAGCCAGAGACACTCTTGAAAGTCTGGGAGGCGGACGTGGAGGTTAGATTTCAAACTAAATTATTTGACTATTCTAGTATATTTTAGAGTTAATTGTTTTCTTGCAAATCTCGTTCTTCGTTGTTGGCCTAATTATTGGTAATTATGGTTTGCCAGGAACGAAGAGTGTTGACAGCCTGCGTGGGAAATTGGATGAAGCGATCAAATCGAAAGACAGAATCGTTTTGGACAAAGTGATCAGTGAATGTGTGTCAGCCGGAATGCCAGAGCTGATGACTGATATCCAAAAAGCCAGAAGTGTAGCAGACATTCTTCGCGGTGGTACTGGAGGTTAGATTGTTTGTCTTAGAATAAATGTTGTCGATTTTCATTGCTTTATCAATATCGATTTTGATTTTGCCTCATTTTCCTCTATGTCCTATCCTATATGATTGCGAAAATATATATATCACTGGACAGATGTGAAATCTCCAGACACTCTTCGTGATCAGCTGACATTGGCTATCAGACAAAAGGATATCAAATCTCTGGAGAAAGCCATTTCGGAAACTGAAGCTGCCAGATATCCGGAATTGTCGGCCGAACTTCGTAAAGCTAGGGACGTTTACGAAAATATGGGAGGTGATCGTGGAGGTCAGTTGGCGTTCATTGGCTGTAAATCTGTCGATTTTTTCGTTTCTTTTTCTCGGCGTTCGCTTCTTATCGCTTTTCTATGTTTTCCATTAGGTAAATTGTCGGCTGAGACATTACGTGATCAGCTAACAACAGCGATTAAAGAAGGAGACAGAGAAAATTTGGAAGCGGTGTTGTTGGAATGTGTGTCTGCCGGCATGCCAGAACTCGACACTGCCATACAGCGAGCTAGAAGTAAACTACTCGATATGGAAGAAGCCCCGAAACGAGGTGCGAACCGTTAAAGTTTCCGTATTTCTTAGGCTCTCGTTAACTCGAAAGAATAGAAATATTATTTATTGAATTTTCATGCGCAATAGAAACGCTTATTTTGATGGAGTTCAAAGAGAATTGTTTCCGAAAAATTAATGTCGTTTTCTTTTCACCTGTTTTTTTTTTTTCTTGATCAGACACTATATTGGTTAGTCCTGATAATCTACGCGACAAATTAAAGAAAGCCATCGCATCGAAAGATGTACAAGGTTTGCAAAATATCATAGAACAAGCTGAAAAGACCGCTCTTCCGGAAGTAAGCTCAGAGCTACGGAAAGCCAGAGACACTCTGGAAAATCTGGGAGGCGGACGCGGAGGTTAGATTTTCGACTGATTTCATCTTCTGTCTTTATTTGTTTTTTGCTGATATTATAATTGATTTTTATATGTATTAGTATGAACACCTTTGACGTTGCTCTTTTTTACCCTGTTCTGCTGTAACAGTGTTTTAGGTTCCTATTTTCAGGGTAACGGTCACTTTATGTCTGTACCACAAGAAATTATAATTTTCTTTCGCGAATGCCTAAAGGCAAAATACTTATCTATTTGGCTGACATCATTTCACATCGTTTTTTCCCTTGTTCACTGTATTCCACGTCCCAGAACATTTTTAGAGGCGGATATATGTCAAAGTGTAGCGTGTAATTTTATAGACCTCTATACATTAAATTTGTCTACAAATGCTAAAACTATCTGCAGTATGAAGCCAAATGCTAATTAATAACACTTTTTGAAGATTAACATCTACAAAACAAAATGTCTACTCTTTGTAATGCGACACATACACACACGCGTGCGTACACACACAGACACGCACGCATACTCTCTCTCTCACACACACACACACATATATATAATCTTTGTAATGAAGTCCTGTTTTAAACCCTCCAGCCATATTTATCGTTCTTGCTGTTTCTCATCGCATCTGCGTGCCTTTTCTGGTGCAGTAATATATATATATATATATATATATATATATATATATATATATATATATATATATATATATATATATCCAAGAGAGTAATGGATGTCTGTATTTAATTACATGAAGTGTTTTGTATTCTAATTAGAATTATTATTCATCATTTTACCCTTACACTTCTTTGCATTTGGGTCAACGCTGAATAGTAATCATCTACATCGAATATTTTTTGTATAATTTTAAATTAAAATTCATCATACACTCCCCATATATATATATATATATATATATATATATGTGTGTGTGTGTGTGTGTGTGTGTGTGTGTGTGTATTATTTTCACACCCATATTCTTCCAATGTAGTGTGTTTCTGTGTATCAAATTTATGTTAATATGAGTTTACAAATTCCTCCTGACATAATTCCATAGAAATGCTATTATATATATATATATATATATATATATATATATATATATATATATATATATATATATATATATATACACACACACACACACAAAACTCATGGTGTGATAGCAAAAACTTTTCAAAATCAAAATTATTATGTCGACTTATTTGTGTAGCAAAACAATGAAACCAAAAAGCTTTGTGTTAATCCCCAAAATTCTTTGTTTTCCCGATCCTCCGCCGCCGTTTTCCGTCTGTTTTTGCTGATTGCTCTTGTATGTCGGTTTGATTTCATTTGTTATTTAATGAAATTCCTATTTTCCAAGGATTATTTTGCTGCGACCTACAACGCTTTCTCTTGAATTTCCCTTGCCACTGTTATAGACAAGCGTTTGGTTGCGAGAAAGAAATACGACAACAGCAGAAATATATATACTTGATTTATTTCAATAGGAACGTGTGGTTTTGGGACAGCTACCTTGTGGTATAGTTCATAAGCCGGCTGCCGATCTGGGTTGATCTCTCATATTAGTTCTCACTGGTTGGCGTGGCGCTACTGCTGCTGACTGTCCGTAACATATCTCTTCCCTGGCCTCCTGTTGACTACTGTTGTACTTCCCTGTGTGACTCCTTTTATGACGTTTTTTATTGCTTAACATGCTCGATAAACGACGCGAGAAGGAAGGAAGCATTTTTATTGGTCGAAAAATAGAAACACTTTAAAATTTTATTTTTCGACCGGAACTCATGCGTCGGGCTTATGCGTAGACGACGATAATGGTCATTTTGTGACGGGGACTTGTCCCGCTCACATCCAGCTCTCGCTCTTAAGTATGTTAGTTTATTTGCCTGCAAATCAGCCGTTGTATGTCTTATTTTATTTTATAACACCTCCTAAACACAATCCGCTCAATATTTCTTACCTATTTGGTCTAATTAATATAATTGTGTATATTTAGCTACACGTTACCCGCAAAGCTTTAATTTACCTTTTATTTATTTATTAGTTTTATCCTTTTAATTAATTATTTTTAAACAATTTTAACAAAGTAAATTCGAATCTTTATTTTCGTTTTAAAATATTACAATATTATGGCGTATTTTGAATAATAGATAAGCCGTCACAGCAGACCCTTCAGCACAAATTAAGAGAAGCGATGAAGAAAGACGACAGGAATGCTCTGGATAGAGTGATAAAGGAATGCATAGCTTCCGGTTTGCCAGGACTTGAGGCAGATATAAGACGCGCAAGAGGTGCTCTTATGGGCATGGAGTACGCGCCAATTGGAGGTGTGTGCTTATTTTTAATCATTTCGAATATAAATGTAACACTTGTTGTCAGTTTCAAACAGTAAACCATTCAATACCTCCAGTTTCTAATTCTTCTGAAACAATTTTTTCATCGAAAGATCTTTTTAATTTGTGCCAAATGAAATATCGAAGTCATGAAAAATACATATTTTGCTGCAGTTAACATTGAATTAAATCTATCCTGTTGTATTTTTTTGCATTTCAGTAGGTATCTATGAATATTTGAGCGAATAAACAGTTTCAAACTGTGTTCTGTTTTCATGTTACTCAAAAAGGGCGTTGAATTATTATTATTATTATTTTGCGGGGGAGGCGGAATAAATTCCACCTGGTCAGTCTACTTATGAGTATGTGGTTCAGTGGTTCTAACGTTGGCTTTCCGACAATGAGAACTAGGTTCAAATCTCACTAAGGTCGAATTATCATGAAGGTGATTTCTTTATGTTATCGGCCTGGGGAAAGTGCACGCAAACCAGGCCACGGATTGACCCAAGCATTGTGAGTGAAATTGGATAGACGGATTTATTTTGGCAGCCGTCGATGGTAGTGCTAGCACGAAGTCACAAGTCTTCGTGACCGAGTGTTTGAATGTACTGCCCTTGTTCAAACTATTGATCACGCCCTATCTCAGTAACTGCAACTAAGATCCGCTCAGCATAGTTTCAGTATAAAAAACGGGTGAGTTCTGTGGGTGTTAAACCTAAATGTGCCTGAGCGACAGGGATTAGCTAGCCACCCGAATAGACAGGCATTCCCGTATACGACCAGCCGGCCATTATGTGTTGTAGAACCCTGAGTGTCAGATTGCATTTGTAAAAGTGTGTATTGCATTGTATTATTTGTTACTGTGGTTATTATATTCTTATATCTTTCTTTTCAAATGGTCTCTATATTATATAGATATACAGGTAGTGTAACGGATATCGTCGTAAAAAGTGTAATCGGTGAGCCGAGTGAAGATTCCAGGCTAGTCGGTTGCATTCACTTTTACACAAATGCCCTCGAAAAGGCAGGGATCCGACCCTTCTCTCCCCCGTGCTGCGAATTAAGTAGCAGAGTAGACTCGATTTTCTAGCCTTGGGTGGCAACCAGTTTAAGAGAAAGAAAACTCTGTGCAAAAGGCAAAAAGACTTCATGGCGACTCACAGCTAATAAGTAAATGTCTGTAGGTATCCATGAGGATCTACGCCCTGGAGAGACATAGTATTAGAAAGTATATCATAAACTTTGAGGTTTTTTCCGATTGGAAATATATTGACTGAGCTTAAATCAGAGAAAAATTTGGGTTTAACAACCGAAGAAGGAAATCTGAAGATTTAGCAAATGATGAAGAAACTTAATCAACTGAGAATAAAACATTAATTTGTAAATTTCAGTCATAAAAGGATGCACAAACGTCCTCATCATCGGTCGAAAATAGTGTGTAACAACAAATGGATTTTCTCCAAAAACGATTTATAGTGGTTTTCCCATGAGATGAAATCTGAAATTATTACACATAAAGTTTACATGGGAATTGTCAGAAAATCAGAAACTACATGGTTTTTAGGTGTGCTTATCATAGATTACGCCAATTAGTTTAACAACCACCTACTAAAATTGGTTAGAAATAACATATTCTTCAATATAACCGTAATCTGCTTTCTTGATTAGAAGAACGGTATTTTAAATTTTAAAAAGAAAAAGCTGTTTTAATGTTTCCTGACTAATTACTGAAATTTGGTATGTCACAGTGTAATACTCTAAATGGGGTTCAAATCTTCCGTGTAGGCTCTTTTATCATTTCCATTGTAATTGTTAGTTTTTATAGTGTGAGATTTTTATTGATTTCAATACAGCATTTCCCCCTCTACATTGGACCTTTTTCTAAACTGTCACGTTCTATGGCGAAGATTGTGGTTTAGGGAAGACCAATGGGCAAATAATCAATTCTGTTTATCAAAACTGTTCCCAAACATCTCAAGAATTTCATTAAGCATATTACATAGCGGAAACTAATTTACTTTTATCAAAATATTTCGGCCAAAATGCAGTTAGGAAGATAATCATGTAACTCCATGCAATTGCATTTATTTTTTTTATTGTGTTTGGTAGAAACTCCTTCGACTTCAGTTTTGACTTTACGCGACGAACTGGAAAGAGCGACCAGAGAAAAGGACAAAAAATCTCTCGAAAGAATCATTGAAGGAGCAGAGAGTGCTAGACTTCCAGAACTTGATCCCCTTCTTCGTAAAGCCAGAGACACACTAGAAAGTCTTGGAGGCGGTCGTGGAGGTTAGAAATACTAGTTTTCTTTGATATGTTTTAAAAACATTTCCTTTATTTCA